AACAATTTCATCACGATTCACCGATGAAAACATAATGGATGACTATATGTACAAATAAAGACTAAAAACCACTGAATGTTTTTGAAACTCATATAGACTGCTGATTGTGAACGTGAAGTTGTATCCATATATCTAAGTCTTAAAGTTTGCTTCTTTTTCGCCAATCTTTAGATCCAAGGATGTCCCTGTCCCCTAGGATTATATATTTAAGTCACAAAATCAACCAAAATATCCCTTGAAACTAGCTAAACTGAGAAGAGGATGACTATACAATTTTATGGCTTTCACACCTTCTATAACAATTAAGAACTATATTAAACTTTAAACAAGTCCCTACAAAGTAAAAATTTTACTGGTGATAATCAAGAAATATAATTCATATAAAATTGGTCTCTATGAGCTACTTGGTTCATGTTACTGTGAACTAATTCGGATGGCATGAGTATGATAAGTCAAGTGGGTAATAATGATAATTTCTACAACTCAAAATTGTTGCTGCTGTTGATTGTTCTCTGCATGTACTTGATTTAAGATGGGTCTTACAATTTAATGGAAATACTATCCATACAATATTTATATGAAGCAAATTTAACTAACTGCCATCAAATGAAGCAGCCAAATGGTGATGAAGATAAAAGAGAGTGAGATAAGATGTGATAATAGGGACCATGGTCTATCAGTCAAGTCCGACAAATATACTATGAACTAATACGAACACTTTTTTTATGATCCTAAAAAATCTATTATCCGTTTAAAATATCTACAAGTTGTTTTTTTTAAGTATATAATATTTATATACGGTAAATAGAACAAATAAACTCGCACACCCTCCTCACCTTTGGTGAGGTTCTCCTAGAAGGTCAAGGACTCACATACCGCTAGACCAAAGTGAGGGATAAGACTCTTACCACGGTAAGTGCTTATCAGGTAAATTGTTGCATACGATATCGTTTCGATGGACTACCCAATAAGTAAATGATAGTGTTAAATTTATTAAAATCTTACCCAATATGTATACATGTTCCATTATCACACCGTAGTTGCATGATATCACATTGATCGACATGATGCATAGTTTCCCATTGCACAACCAAGTTGGACTGTTTATATCTTCTAATGGCCATTGACCTGATACACATCTCAGGTTACTTTTTAGGAACGAGTCTCTATCTCCCCTCCATGACTTACCCTCTAATTAGAATTATGTAGTATTTCACTCAAGAATTTGGGTGGATAATATTAGGTAAAGGGAATGCCATTATACTTGCGGAAGGCTATAAGCAGTGGGTATATAGTAATATGCCTATGCGATGAGAATGAAATACAAGTAGGAGAAGGAAAAGCAACTCCAATAAAAAGTAGGAGAAGAAAAACATTGTAAGTTCTGTGAGTGTGATTCCACATGATAACTTATTTTTATCTAGTCTGCATCTCTTTGGCTAATGTAATCTTTTGACAGAATCAATCTCAGAACAGAGAACAAAATAATTCCAGGAACAATATTACCATTCAATCTCAGAAATTTCTTTAAAAAAATGAAATGTAATTTTAGAGCAAACCTGATTAGACGAGCGGCAGGGGCGACAACGAGGTGGTACGGTGGCGACGTGCAGAGACAGGGGCGGCGACGGGGGTGGTGCGGCGGCGATGGGGGCGAGGGAGACGATGGTGTGCGAGAGGGAGAAGGAGACGGGAGGGAGCGATGGTCACGGGGAGAAGAGTAGTCAAGGGCTTTTAGAATTTTTTAAGTTTTTTTTTTTTTTAAATTTAAGGTTACCTTCTATTCACTTTACGGGTTATAATTTTAAGGAATGGGGATCTATTTAATAGGTTTTGTAAAGTTCAATGATTTATTTAACATATTCTAGAATGTCCAAGGATTTATTTGTTTCAAAAAATTGTCCAAGGACTTAATCGTTCCAAACAGTAAAGTCCATTGGGTTTTTTTAGACTTTTCCCTTTGTTAATATGTACATTAAACAATTAAACTATCATGTATGCTATTCATATACACATATTTTCAATATATTCACATCTTTATCTATCTCATTCGTATATATGTTCAATAACTGTGAATATATATATATAAATTGAGAAAATTAACTGAATATGATATACGTAAGAAGTATGGATAAAATGATTGATGATGAAAAAGAAAGTATGAGTAGAGAAATAACATATTCTAATTTAGAAGAATATGTACCAAAGTATCAACCCGACCAATCCGTATGGGTTGGGTTGGGTTGCACTTTGGTTCGGGTTGGGTTGGGTTAAGATTTTTCAAACCGCAAACATTGGATTAGGTTGTTCAAATGTTTTCAACCTGATCAACCCAACTCATGAACACCCCTAGCAGCAGGGGCCGACGAGGACGGTGGTGTAGGGCAACGAGTGGTGGTGCGGCAACGACCGGGGTGGTGCAGCGTGGAATGGCGATGGGAAGGCGGTGTAGGGCTCCGTTAAGCAGGGAGAGGGAGATGGGGGAGTCTTTATATAGTTATAGGTTTATTTATTTATTTTTAATTTAAAGTTTACCTATTCAGGTTACAGGTTATATTTTTAAAAGATGTGGATCTATTTAACAGGTTTTAAAAAATCTAAGGATTATTTAATAAGTTTTGAAATGTCTAAAAATTTATTTGTTTCAAAAAAATAATTAAAAAACTTAAAAAGTCCAAACATGCATCGTAAAATCGTGTGTTCAAATTACCAACGTTCATCGCCAGCCACAAGAACATCACCCGCTACCAGCAACCAACATATACATACTCGCTGCGTTGGATAACTAACAATTGAACCTGGTAAATCATCATCAATGGCGTCCGCTACCATGGTTATCCTCTGTCCTCAGAACGTCACTCGCCACCCCAAACCTTTCTTCTCTCTCCACAAAACCACCACTACTCTCTATCCTATCCCCTATTATTCTTCTTCAACCAGATCATCATCACGCTCAATTTCCCTTTCTGCTGCTACTTCACGGGCAATGGAGGCTCTCATATTCGATTGCGACGGAGTTATTCTCGAATCCGAAGACTTACACCGCCAAGCTTACAATCTGGCTTTCGCTCACTTCAATGTCTGTTGCCCTCCCTTCAATGAACCCCTCAATTGGGACACTGATTTCTACGACGTCCTTCAGAACCAAATCGGCGGCGGTAAACCTAAAATGCGCTGGTTCTCTCCCTCTCTGCTATCTATGTTTTTGTGTTGCAAATGTTAATTGACAAACTGTGATGGTAATCGACCTAACGTGATCAGGTATTTTAAGGAGAATGGTTGGCCTTCTTCCACGATCTTTGTCACGCCTCCTGAAAATGATATCGATAGGGAAAAATTAGTCGACACTCTTCAGGTAAGTTCAGTTATTGCTGTCATTATTTTATTAATTCCTTGCATCCACGGTCTGTATGTGTAAGTTTTACACTTGCAAGTTTTGTTTTCCCAAGCTTTCATGACTTGTACAGCCTCCTTCAATATTCTTTTTTGAACAATTATACAGTGTTCTCAAATAGTTGTAAATCACTTCAATTGGCTAAGCAACTGAAGTCCAAAAACTTATTTCGCTGTTGTTAGGATTGGAAGACAGAGAAGTACAAGGATATAATCAAGTCGGGAAGTGTAAGAAGTAACCTTTTATTTTGATGTCTATGTATATATGATTGTTTGATAGATCAAGCTGGTTCACTTTTTCCCTTTTTTGATTGGTTGTTATGGAATTTGGCAGGTTGAGCCTAGACCAGGTGTACTAAGATTGATGGATGAGGCAAAGGCTTCTGTAAGATAGTAGATATCTAATTTATAGCATAATTGATTGCTCTCTTTAACATGTGAACATAACTCATTGTAGTGCAATGCATGCATGATTGATCTGGTTGTGTAGTGCAAAAACAAAGTGGTCTCAGTTAATTGGTTGTTTGTAAGGTGGGTATGAATTGAACCCTCATATTTGTTGTGGATAAAACCCGTATAAGCACCAAGTTCCCTTTGGGGTCTTTCATGTATTTTGATATTGATGTTGTTTTCTGATCTCTTCACTTAAAATTGCCATCTCTAATGTGCTTTTCACTTATTTCTATGATATTTTTCTTCTATTTTACCACAGGGTAAAAAACTTGCTGTGTGTTCTGCTGCAACTAAAAGCTCAGTTGTCCTCTGTCTAGAGAATCTTATTGGAATCGTAAGCCCTCCATTTAATTTACTTTGAGCACTAAATCATCATTTCATATTTTCATTGTGCTTCAACACCAACCAATGTTTATTGTGGCCTTTCCTCTTACTTCAGGAGCGTTTCCAAAGTCTTGATTGCTTTCTTGCAGGTCGGTTTTTATATTGCAATCAAATTCCATTTTTCAATAATATTTTTGTTGCATTTTCATAGATCATGGGGTTCTATGAAAATTAAGGAATCCCATGACATGAATTCATGTTTGACCTGTTCTGTATCTGCAAAGCCTTGCCCGTGTTTGCAGAAAAATATGTTCTTCCCTACACCTGACCTCCGATATTGGGACCTAGAAACTGATACCTTGTACCTTCACATCTGTGTTTATGGGATTAAGCACAAAACATTATCATCAACATCACCGTTACAGAAGTTCTGGGTCACTTCTTTGAACCTTTATGTTTTGTTTTTTTTTCTCTTTCTTTTACTTTTTATTGGTGCAAGAGAATATAGGGCAATTCTCCATACTTCTTATTATATTGTTTCCTTGTCAAGTAAGGCAAACGGTATTTTGAGCTACCTTCTCTTGGGATTTTCTTTCAACAGGTGCAGCTGATGCCTGACACTCATTTGTAGTCCTATATAAGCTGTGTGACCACGAACCTGCACATCCATCTTGAGTTAGCATTTAGCTACCTATATGCACATATCTTTTTCTTCACCAAGCATTCTCCCTACAAAAGCTGTAGCTCTCATCATGTAGAACTGTTTGTTTTAAAGTTGCAACCTCAAACAACTCCACTATGCATAACTTGACATCATAGTCCTGATACCATACTTGTTCCTAGGAGGAACAGGTCCTATATAGTATCAACAGTGTATATGTATTATGAGGAAGATAACCAACAAAATGACCTATAAATGGTTATAAAACCCACTGGTACTCATAGACGACTTGGAGGACAACATCCAAGTCGCTTCTGAACTTGCCTGGTTCTTCACAAGTGCTTGTACGCGACTTGGAAGGCGATTTCATGAAGTCTCTCATGTTCTGAGAGTTCCTTGCTTGTTTAAACTTTTTTTAGGGAAGAGGACAGTACCTCTGGCAAGTTTTTGTATATACATTCCCTCACATGCCTCTGTTGTCTTTTCTGGTTATTGTACTTGATCCCTGTTTAAACACATTCTTTTGCTTCTTTTCTCACATATCTCTTGCTCTCCTGTTTCCTTCTAAAATTTAATTGCAAGCCCGGGGTTTTCTTATATGCAAGAATAAAGGTATGTATGCATCCTACCCCCGACCCTACCTCCCGAGTGGGATCTATTGGATCCGTTTGGTTTCTTTATCAACATAACCTTATTATTGGCATTCTTTTTATCAGAACCGCCTCAGAGCTCTCCATGGTAATCTAGGGCACCCTTTCTTGTATCTTAAAGTGCCATATAAGTCCATTTCTAAATCTCGGTACCACATGCTCAGATGGACATATAGGAGAAAGCTGAGTTGGGACTAGCTCATATCAAAGTAAAATGAGAGGAAAATTGCCATGGTTTGGGCACATTCGTAGGAGAAAGCTGTCAGCACTACGGAGGACGGTGTAGATCCTTATGGTCGAGGGTGTGAGGAGGTGGGGTATGCCGAGGAGGACGTGAAACAAGAAACTACGGATGGACATGATGGCTTTAGACATTTCGGAAGACATGACTTCAGATAGGAGTTCATGGAGAAGCATGATAGGGTAGCATATTGTGTGTAATGACTTGTGGTTTAATGGGGCAGAGGAAGGGGGTGGAGAGGTAGACGGAGGTTGGAGGTGGTTTAAAGAGCTGAAAGGTTTCAGTATACTAGGATGGTGATGTAGGTATTAGGGTTGTAGGTTCAGGGAGGGTTAGAGAGACAACTACTTTGTCCCTAGTTAGTGTAGAATCTCTATACCTTCTTGTATGCCTTTATTGTCCTTACACGCTTTAGTTTTCTGTCGTATTACTTGTTCTTCGGCTTTCCAAACCTATTTTTCTACCATTTACTTTTCCTCTCTTCAAACTTACGTTTAGCTTTTAGTACCAAAATTTTCATGCAAAATCTTACTTGCTAAAACTTTTACAAGCCATTTTTTATGGAAAAAAACTTCTCTACTTTTCATGGATGGAGGTAAGACTTGAACCCTCCCCAGACTCTATTCTGTGTGGGATTCTGTGTTTGTTTGGTTTTGTTCTTATAGTATGGCATCTATAATGCATCTCAATGTGTAAAACATTGAAAATTAGAAACTAGTTAGGCATAATCTTTGCATTAGTATTTTTAGCAATTACTCATCACAACAGAAAGTTCACTCAAGATTATAAAAAAAAATAGTTCAAGGAGGCTAAACCAAACCAAACAGGCCCGGTCTATCCCAGTGGGGTCGCAGGAGGAGGGGGGGGGGAAGAGACCAGGCTTCTGCATCTAAAGAGTAGAGTGGTTGTTTTTGTGAAGACCCCAGCTTGAGAAAAGAGAGAAAAGAGTGAAAAGAGAGAAAGGGCATAGGAAAAAGTTTATATTGACAAACTAGTTTAAGAGCAAGGAATAACAAACAAATAGGAGATACATAATCAACTCGAGGAAACTACACACCCTCCAACCCGCTATCCTTATCTCCCACCCTTACTCTACTACCCTAGTCCTCTGTCTCCAACAGCTCCGTCAGAGGTCATCGAAATACCTAAAGCCACCATGTTCAAACTCAGTTCCTCATTCCATCTCCTCCCCCGACCGTCAACCTTTCTATTCTTCTCACTGGAGCCGTCATCTGTCTTGATTCTTTTAATATTTTATGATCTGACCTTGAATGTGTCGGTGATGATATTGTGAGAAAGAGAAGGAATGAGATTTTGGCAGTGTGAAGTTGATTGAGTTGAGCCTCTTGAGAGATGTAGAAAACATAAAGCCAAATGAATGTCCAGTATCTCAATTATTTTGGTTTATATTTAATTTGTAGGTGATGATGTGAAGGAAAAGAAGCCGGACCCTTCTATATATATAACAGCATCTAAGGTAAGGATGACTTAGGGGCCGTTTACCAAACGCTTACTCGAGTAAGTGAACATCAAGTCACATTACCTTACCAGATGAATATGGTAAGGACCAAGAATCTTACCCGGTAATAGCGAGACAAGGACCAAAAGTCTTACCCGGTAAGTGAGGGCAATGACTCTTACCATGGTAAGCGCTTACCAGGTAAATTGTTGCATACGATACAGTTTTGGTGGACTAAAATCTTACCCAATAAGTAAATGATAGTGTTAAATTTTACCGACAAGCGCTTACCGGGTAAGTGTTTGGTAAACTGCCCCTTAATTTTAAAGTGATTTGATGTTGTTTTCATATTTGTGTTATGATTCCAGAAACTAGGAATTTCAGAGAAAGCTTGCTTGGTAGTGGAGGACAGTGTGATTGGTCTACAGGTTTTGATCGAGCATTGTTTAGTTTGAATTCATTAATTACTGCATGCATGCACATATGAATTAGAGAAAGATTAATAAGGTTTGGTTTGATTTGGTTTGGTTTGCAGGCAGCAACAAAAGCTGGAATGTCATGTGTGATTACATATACATCTTCAACCGAAAAACAGGATTTTACGGATGCAATAGCAAAATTCCCTGATTTAAGTGACGTAAGGTATCCATTCCAATCAAAACAAGTGGTTCAGTTAGGTTGTTTGTTTACCTCTTAATAGTTCCATTAACAGGCAACATCTGAATCATTAAGAGGTAAATCTTTGTTTGGCAAAAAAAAAAAAAAGTTTGTCTCTTAATGGTTCTAAAACACTCTGAATGATTTTGTATCGTGAGCCTCCCTTAACCATTCAGCGCCCTAATTTCGTTGTAGATAATTACCAAACAATTATATTTCATTTTGCATTATATCATGAGAGCATCTTAATCATTCTGACCACTTAATTATTCTACACCAAACAATTCAGCAACTGTCAAACAACCCCATCATCTGTTATTGGGTTTTTCTTTCCTTTTCAAGTTAATTATTAATGTGTTGCATGTTTAACAGATTAAAAGACTTGGAGGAGTTGTTACAAAATGTGGTGGCTGCTTAGATCAGGAAAGTTTGAAACTGTACAATCACACCATGCAATGCCATTCAGCTCTTGTGAAATTCTGATTGAAATTCCTATACATACCAAATGTATATTGATAATGCTAAATTCATTTTAAAGTTCTGGGGTTCCATTATAGTCTAGTTAAATGTTCATCAATCGCCAAAAATGTCACATTTCTTACGGGCTGTTTGTTTACCTTTTAATAGTTCCATTAATAATCAGTTATTATTAATCAATAAAAAAGGAATAACCCATAAGTTATAGATAAAAATTCCATGCATTTGGATTTATATATGTCAAAATGCTACAAGATAAATAATGATGAAAGAAAGATTATGTGTAGCATATATCTATACTATATTATAAAGTATTTGACAAAAACTCTTAAAAACCATTTTTATATATGAAGTATTATTTATTGATGCATATTACTTAAAATTCAAGATCACAATTAAATTGTACGTAAGTACAACTTATTAAAACTTCATTTTTTAATTTGTGTAACTAACTATAGATAAACATAATCAAATATGGGATAAATATCTCATTTTAAATATAAAATATCTAAAATATAATTAGAATAATCATTAGTTATAACAAAATACTTGATTATTATCTTTATAAAAATTATATTATTAAACGATAAATAAATTACTTCATTATTAAATCTAAATTATAAAATATTGAATTAAGAAAATTACAAAAAAACCCAGAACTTTAAATAGTAAATTTGATACTAATATCAATATATTTTTTTCCCAAAGTTTTATAATAATATTTAAATTTAAATTTTATTCAAAAGTAAAAACATTATCGTCTTTTCAAAACCATATTATATCGACATAGATAAATAATAAAACAAAACATTAAAATTGAGATATATCTCGTTATATTATGCAAGCACTCTTCTAATATATATAATAGAATTCAATCATAATATCTATACACCTAATAAATAAGTAACTTGGGTGACACATGTCATCTTCTGGTGAATCAGTTATCTTATTTTCCCGCCTAAACATGTATTTAGACACAATTTACATTAATTGTTCAATTAGACTCATTTGAATGTACCTAGACACAATTTACATCAACAGTTCAATTATATTCATTTGATTAACATATGTCCTCTTATTCAATCAATCCTACTAAATTAGGATGCAATTGATTTTATTGTTTGGTTAATTAATTCGTATGGTAACTGATTCCCGAATAAAATTTAAGTCTGAAGAGTTATACTTCAGAGTTATTTCAAAAGTACAAGTCTAAAGTAGCATCATACTTTCGATGATCATTCATATATGTAAGATAAGTTATTGACATGATTTATTTTTTTCAAATTACCCCGTATAATACACTGGAACGAACCTATATATATATATATATATATATATAGTTATTGTAACAAATATTGAAACCCGATGCAGATGGAGCAGCATAATCTGATGATATGCATAAGTTGCTGAATAAAATACTCAGAATCTTAATGCACACAGCTTATTTGCTTTGATTGCAATTCTTGTTCAACTTTGAGGAAGAGAGTGCTGAATGAGGAATAACTTGAAGAGCCTGCACAACTCTTTTGGTTGCTCCATGTTCATTGCATGCCCTGTCTTCTTCAACACAATAAGCTCTGCACCTTCACCTAAATGACTGAACAAACTAATCATGAATCATTCATTCTACAAACCAAATTCAAACTCAAACTCAAACTAAAACTTGCCTTTTCAATCTGTACCCCAAATCCAAAGGAAATATCGCATCGTTTTCCCCCCAAACGATCAACGTTGGCTGCTCGGCATCAAGTGTCTTAATATCATCAAGATGTTAAACAGCTTTTTGAAAAAGAAACAGCATTGTTATTACCTGAATGATCTTAGGAAGGTCTGAAAACTTTCTATCCTTTTGTACAGCTTCGATACACTCTCTTTTCTCTTCAAAGTAATCGACGTTCATTTCCTGTAAAACCATAACACAGCATCTGCCCAATTTTACTTATTAATGTCTGTGTTATGTTTCATACCAACTGAATCAAAAAGCCCAAGAATTTTCTACTCAAACTGCATTACACTTCCCAGAAATCATCAATGCTACCCAAATACTCTATGGGTTTCAATCATTCCTAAACGAAAGTTAACGAAATCTTGATCCAAGATTTGAATTTGGAATACAAGATCCAAAACATCTTTGATTCTCCAAATCATTTGTTTCAATCAAGTTCATATCTTATGATTAACCTGGATATCCAACCCGTTATGCGAGCCGCCGACTAATCCCAGGGCGACCACCTGCTTTGCAGGTATTTCTCCGGGGATTTGAATCAAGTTCATATCAATCTATACATAATCAGTTCATCAAATCCATAACTAAATAAGAGAGACTTACATCGATAAAATCGTTAATCAAGCAAGAGGGAGCAAGATTCGGAGGGGGCGGCTTATAAAACGAAATCCTCAACAATTCTCTAGTCTTCTCAGGCGTCTGAGCCAACAAGATGTTTGCAGCATCCTTGATGTTCTTGGAACTAAACAAACCCTCCTCCAAATCTATCTCCGAATCCAAACTAACCCCAGAACCCACAATCACCACTCGCTCGATAGCCTCTGGAAATTGGTTAGCCATGCTATACCCAACGAACCCACCATAGCTAAGCCCCACCAGGTTAATTTTCCCTATCAATCCCACACTCTCCAACGTCCTCATCACGCACTCAGCCTGGAAGTGCTCCGTCCGTTCTGGTCTTCTGGTGTACGAGTCTCCATAGAACAGCAAGTCGGGTACATAGACATTGAAAAGGGGGGTCACACGGGAGATTATTGGATCCCACTGCCACTTGGCGTTGGCGCCAATACCATGAACCAGGAGCAAATTCGGTTTGTTGGGTTTATGGGTTTTGGGTATCCAGCAGTGGATGGTGGTGTCGCCGTCGTGGAGGGTGGTGGTGGTCGATTTTAGGCCCGCGGAGGCGAATGATCGTGCCAGACACCAGTCTCTGGAGGCCGTGAAGTTAATGCACCTCACCATTGGATCGAGTGATTCAATCAGCAATGGATGTAGGACTTTGTGATCTCTATTTGCCAATAAAAAAGGAGGGATTACCAGCGTGGGAACGCGGAGACCATTGATGGTCACAGAGGAGTTGCGAGGTTTAAAACATGAAAGTCGTGAAATTTGCCAAATTTACATCAATTATCACAAATCATTTTGTTCTATTCGTTTACGTGACCATTACTTCTCCAATTGTCGCATTCCTGACCAACATTTATTTCCAACTTTCAAATATTTAATTATTGTGGATAAATCATTAAAATAGGCTTAAAAATTCATTAAATACTCCATTTTTAATATTACACCTTATATATTATTGGGGATGGGGACAGGTATGATACTCCCCGCCCCTTATCCGTTATATATATATATATATATATATATATATATATATATATATTATTTCAACCAAAACGGTAATTCATAATTTTTTATTTCTTAACTAGGTTTATAATCTAAAATTGTTATTTTTTTGGATGTTAATATGTAATATTTTGGATGTCAAGTCAAAATACAATTACTCAATAAGTTTTGTATATTAGTCGATATGGTTTTATATTACTCAATATCTTTTTATACATATGGCTTTAATTTTTTTGGATTAAATTGATTTTTTTTTGGTTTTACATTATTAGTTTTTATATGATGTTGCGATTTTTTTGTATTAAATTAAATTCATTTTGTTTTTGAGTTTATTGAAAATGTTTGAGATTTAAATAAGTATAGCTTCTCACATATTTAATTTAAAATAACTTATATAAACGGAAAACAAATCCCCGTTTCCGCGTTGGGGATCCCCGTTCCCCGTTGGGGATGAGGATGGGGATGTGATTATATTCCCCGGCGGGGATGAAGACGGGGATAGAGATAAGTAATCGGGGACGGTGACAGGGATTGAGGTCCCCGCCCCATTCTCATGCCTACTATTGATACCCGAAACCGGGTCGTGACGGGGTCGGGTGCGGCATTACTCAATTAATTTTTTTTTTTATTTACTATATGCATATAGTGTGTGTATAAATAAATATATATGTATATATTTATTATTAAATGACAAAAATATTTGTTTTCCCATATTGTTAATTAATGTAGTAATGATCAATTATAATTATAATTTTAAAATACGTCGTTTTTTACTAAACGGGTACCCAACGGGTCCCCGAACTTGTTGTGGATTTCTTCCCCCCAAACCCGTCGGGGATTAGTCGGGTCGGGGGAGGGGGGGTTAAACGGGGTCGGGATCAGGGGATGCATTATCCGTCCAATATCCACTCCGTTTCTATCTCTACTCACGACATCAACATTGCATTAGGGCTATACCATATATTATGCTTTGTGGTTGTTTATCACGATAAACCGATTTTTAAAGGATAACTTTTAAAATAATATTTTAAATTAAAAAGGATAAAATCTAACATTTTAAAAGTTTGGAATGATTCTAAAATAATAATAAAAAAACAGTTTTATAAAATGCTTGTTATATGTCATCCATTTAGGATACTTGTCAAAATATTACCCGACTCCAGACATAGTCAATGTATTGTTCAACTATGTCGAGTAACAACAATATGAGACAAAATGCTAAAATAACAGGATCCAAATGAACAGGTGTATTTGGCTATTAATTTAAATAGTTGTGATTTTAGATGACTGATTATTCTAAAAAAATTATTACTTGAATGAAAAACCACGACACCTTAGCATGTTTAGTCTGCCTGAAAGATCCATAGAAAAAGTATTGGCAATTTACAGATATTTCAAGGCGTGCAAATGGGATTAAACATGCCAAAATTCAACATATGATATGTGAAATAGAATCCCACAAAGATCTAAGAGTTAAGTTGAATATAATTGGATGAAATCAACCTAGATAGTTTATTCTCATAAACACGTGCATTTGACCATTTCTGAGAATTGGTAAATTTGGATCTTAGCTCAATCAAAATGAATTAGTAAAGGGTTAATTCTTTTTATTGAGATTGTAGAGTTACTAAAATTGAACTTGATTTTTGTAGATGTCAGGTAATATCACAAACACAAATACAGTCGCAAACAACTCGTATTTATCCCCAATCATATTGTGGTCAATCCTTGATAAGGAAAAAAATTGAACGAGACTCGCTTCCTAAGGGTCGTCCTTAGGCATGAAAAGAAGTTTTATGTTTTGGAGAACCCCCCTCTAAAAGCTCTTGGTAGAACTGCTTCCCTTGAAGTCCGAGCCACTTATGATAAGTACCTTCGTGACTCACTGGATGTCAGTTGTTTGATGCTTGCCTCCATGACTTCCGAGTTATTGCAAGATCATGAAGACATGATAGCTAGGATATGATTCGTCCCTGAAATCTATGTTTCAGCTAGGCCAGAAATGAGAGTTTTGATAATGTTAAGGCACCACATGCTTGCATGATACTTGAGGGATCGTCGGTCAGTACCCATGTGCTGAAAGTAAAAAGGGCATGTTGACCAACTGGGTCATCTTGGTTTTCCACTAGGTCTGGAATTGGGAATCGATCTAGTTCTCAACTCCCTATCAGAAGCATATGACCAATTCGTGATGAACTATTATATGCATGGGATGGATAAAACTCTCAAGTATTTCACAGTATGCAAAAAACTGCTGAGAGAAATATAAACTCTAAGTTGGATCTGTCCAAAACCAAACAGGTCTTGATGATCAATCCTAAAGGTGGGATAGTCAAGAAAATAGAAGTAGTTGCCAATGGAAAGGCTAAAGTTGAAAGTTCCAACAAAGATAAGGACAAGGGAAATATTACAGAGGATGAAGTTTGATTCGGCTGCAATCAAAAGGGGCACTGGAAGAGAAACTGTCAACCTCTATTAGAAAAGAAGAAGAAACAGAAGGCTAATGCAGCCAGAGCTTCATGTATGTTTACTATGTTATTTACTAATAATTATGACACTTGGATATTGTATATTGAGTGTGGTACTCAACATTTGTACTACTTGCAGGGTCTAAGTGAAGAGCATCTGAAACCAGGTCAATTGGAGCTAAGGATGGGCAATGGAGCTAAGGATGTCGTTGTTGCTCAAGAAACATATGATAGAACTTCCAAGTGGTCTTAGTTTAACACTTAGATAATGTCTTTTAAGTACCTAGAATTACTAGGAACATTGTTGATTTTGCTCAGTTACAACACTCTAGATTTATGTTTATTTCAGTAATAATTCTCTTTCTGCTTACCTTGGCAATGTTTTGTATTTTGTAGCTAAGTCACATAATGGTATTGTTATGAAATTAACATGCATAATAGTTGTAACTATGAATCAATTTACAATGTAAACAATAAAAGACTTAAAGGAGGCTTGAGTCACACTTACTCATGGCATTGTTGTCTTGGACATATAAATAATAAGCGCATAGCCAAACTCCAGGCATACGAAGTTTTGGAATCATGCGATGATTAATATGATACATGTGAATCTTATTCATTAGGCAAGATGACAAAGACACCTTTTTAGACAAACCTAAAAGGGTAACAAAACTACTAGGAACTATTCATACTATGTATGTGGTTTTTTTAGTTCAGTCACAAGGAATAGTAATCTCTACTTCATTACTTTTACTGATGATTTCAATAGATATGTGTATGTTTACCTAATGAAAAACAAATCTGAAAGCTTTAAAAGATTCAAAGAGTTTCAAAATGGCATTTCGGTCGAAACGAGGTCATAAATATCCGAGTTAAGAGATTGTGGGATTGTTTTTCAAATTACTTAACCCCAAAACACCTCAACATAATGGTGTGTCCAAAAAGATAAATCGAACCTTGTTGGACATGGTTCACTCTATGATGAGTCGTACCACTATGCCTAAATTTTTTTAGGGTTATGCCCTAGAAACTACTACACACATACTGAATAATGCGCTAAATAAAATACTGAACAGATCCCATGCGAATTATGGACTGAGAGGATCCAGTTATGAGAAATATTGAGACCGGCCTGAAACCGATTTTTGGCTATCAATAACTCTAAAGATCACTTGTAAAAAGGTGATAGGTGAAGCCTAAATTAATCAATTCTTTTAGATTTCAAAGAAAACAAAAAAAAAAAAACATTTATTTTTTCTGTCAAAACACACACTAGAATTCTAGAGTTTTGAGCTGGTAAAGCATATTAGTGTATGGATTGTTATAGAAGAAACCTGTTTTGGTTTTTGGTACTCCATTCAGAATTTACTACAAATCTTAAAAGCTAGCATTTAAACACTTTATGTTTATTTAGATTGAATTAAATGTGTCATTGGATTCGAAAAAGGTTTCTTTTATTAGTAAATTTTTTTTTAAAAAGTAATCTAAAATTAGTTTTTCACATCACTTTTTGAAATGATAAAATAGAAAATATATAAAAAAATGGTAAGAATTTTGTAATGGTTTGTGGATTTGAGGGCCCTTGATGCGTTTGGTATGCAGATTGGGTGAGAAGGAACAAAAATAAATAGTCTCATGTTTGATATGTCATGGGACAAAATGAGATAAGACAACATGGGACAAAAGTAAAATCGGGTGATATTATTCTTGAGTTTTTTGTTACACCAAAAAAGGTAGAACAACATGAGACTAAATTTGAAATTATAATATTTCCCTTATTATTTGATATCAAAATACAAACCTAATTTAATTGCATCCTATTTCTTCTCTTCCACATCAACCATTCTCGATTCTAGACTCAATTCCTGAAATGTTAAACTTTTTGGCGTAACAAATGTTATTTACAAATGTTGTATTTAAACTTTTTAAATTATGTGCGTATTTAGAATTTGTGGTATGACAAATGTTATTTACATGCGGCCTTGGAATGTTAAAAAAAATATTGATATCATAAATTAAATAATTTAAATATATTTTTGGTTGATTTGTTGTCATTCACAATCATTATATAATATAAACTAACATTGAACAATATTTGGAGGCAATATGGTCATTTTAACAGTTTTTTGTCATGTTCTGTCCTAGTCGTACCAAACATAATTAGTCCGATCTTGTTCTATCTCATCGAGTCTGTATACCAAACACTAACTTTATGCTTTTCAACTAAGATTCTTGTGACAAAATATGTCAAGGAAAAGTGAAGTAGTAAATTTGTTGAGCCAACATACGAATTTACCAGCTATGTCATGATAATTTATATAAAAAGACGGATATTTGATGAATTTTTATGGTAAACTGACTAATAGTTTGGTGATTTCCAGATTATTCATATACTGTTTTTTAAAAATCAATATCCAATTCTAAAAATTGCAAATTGTATGAAAAAGTGACGTATTTTAACTTGATTCCGATTTTACACAACTTACTTTCAAAACTTTCATTTTGATACCTGAAATGTAAAGTTTTAAACATTTAAGTACCCAGGGAACCAATTAAAACATTAACCAATTATCATGCAAATGTGTCAAGTGATGTGGTATTCAACTCAATATTATTTGTCGACATGAATATCTTAATCTAAAATTAGTTTTTATGTATTGTGATTTACTAGAAGAAAGAGAGTTAATGCTTCAACCGATTATTCGAGTACTTAAATATTAAAAACTTTACATCTTAAGTACCAAAATAGAAGTTTTGAAAGTACGTTACCTAAAATAAGAATCAAGTTAAAGTACGTTATTTTTTCATGCAATTTACCCTTCTAAAAATGACTAATTCTATGTAGAGTGAACATTCTTGGTCCTTGTGTTTTGTCACAAATTATGACCAATGCTTTTTACAGTTTCTAGCTTTTAGACGATTTTTATTTGATTTGCCGGACGGTCATGGATGAGCGATCCACCTTGCATGTATTGTAGATAAGCTTTTGAAATTAACAACCATGTAAACCTCCAGTGGCACTTAGTGGATTCGAACCGATGACAACTAACATCTTACCAATTAAGTTACCATCAAGGTTTAAAGTCCACCTTACATTGGACGAAAATGGAAGAACAAATCGCTTCAAACATCAATATCATTTCACCCAAAGAGAGAGCGCTTCAGGACTAAACCTCGAAAGCAAACATATGCCATTACAACTACAATAAGAATCAATGATAAAAGTGAAAGCAAAATAGGTCGATCCTCAACCATGTTACTTAGAACCCTGCAATACGCGATCAATTGGTTCTTGGAAATATTGAAGAGATATGAAGACGGCTTCCTGTTCACACCAACACGATCAATGAGACATTCTCAGAAAATATAATTAATTGTAATTCATAGTTCGTCTAGTTCAGCAAGAATGGTACCTCAGTTCGAATTGTTCTGCTTCCTTGGTGAGGACATATGTTCAAATACGTATTAAATACCTCCCGTGGATCTTTTCCCTGAAATAATCTCTTTATCGTTAATCTTCAAAACCGTCTTCTTTTCAATCAGCCCAACATATCGATTAGCAGATCATGGAATGTTGATATTCAAGGTTCAAGTGAATGTAGGTGATAATGACTATAGGAAAACCAAGATATCACAGGTAAAAGTACAAGGAATTAAGGGACCCAAAGTTTGAACATAATATAAAGTACAGACCCAAAATTTAAACACTGGCAACTTGTTCAAGTTGGAGCATAGATGTTGGTCATGCCTAAGATGTTACCAGAAACGCATCATTGGGATGTAATGATGTTACTTGGTTGAAGGCTGCCAAAAAAGGCCTTGGGTTTGCTATATTATGCCCGTTTAACGAAGGAAATAGGTTGGCCCCAGCTCATGTCCGGCCCAAGCCAAATACCTCCAAGTCCAAGGGGGAACAGGCCGAGGTTGCATTGCAGGAGGTCTTGTTGCAGTCACTACAGCCCAAATACCCAATTACACACCAAATGACAACAAAGGTGCGTATGTTTCAATGTTTGCCATGCTCATGGAAAAGTCGACCTGCCATGAAACATCAATGTCTTTGAAGGAACTCCCAACTCGTGAAGCAGGTGTCTGATCCATACCATTTTACACGAGAAATTTATCCGACCAATAGTTTTCTTGCTTTTCACAAAATGAAGTTACTGGTTGATGAATGTATGGTATCCAGTTGTGTAACCTCCATACACTTGGGACCCTGCCTGGTTGGCATCTAAGCAGCCTTCTATACTACCAAGTCCCTCTTCTCTCCTCTCTAGACTCCTATTCTGCAATGTACCAGAACCTTAAAAGAAATCTCCACCTGAAGAAACCTTTTAGATATACCAATGTTGAATGACAGTGGAGGCTTGAGATGGTGCTCAACAGAAACAATATGTGTGCACTAGTTGGTAATGGAAGTCTTACATCAAAGTTTAAGATTGAAGTGAGTGTTTGCTAGTACTGTGAGAGAACCCCCAATATAATAATAGATGGGTTCATGGGCCTGAACATATAACCCATATAAAAACTAAGAATATATATCTAACTACCAATATAAGTCACAATAAATTCACAGACGGACCTTGAGGTTTTTGTCTTCTTCAATACACTCCTCCAATCCAGCAAGTCCACCAAAAGCAATTAACAGATGCCTGCAGATCATCCAGTTATAGCAAATATCAATGAATCAGGTCAGTTTTATTTGCACAGACAATGCAACTAAGAGTTTTAAGCTATATAATAATCCAACAATGCTGCATAAGGGGAAAAAATATTTGCACAAGCATCCGTCATACAATACACTGTCAGGAGAATAAAACTTGCATCAATTGGCAAAAGTTGGCAATATGATGATCGCTTAGTTCGATTTAAAAATAGAAAACCCAAAAAGCAAGAGGGAGAGTTATGACCACACTTGATGAGTTTGATTAATAGTCCACCATTTAAATAGAAGTTATCTGTTATAGTTTGCTGGTGACCAATAAGAACATGCATACACCTGAGAACAAAAAGCAAACAGCACAGGGAAGAATTTATGGGAATACTCTAGTCTTTCTTCCAAACCTGACATCAAATCGACCTGAACTAGGGCGTTTGGTTTGCAGATTCTGAAGGAATCTGATGGAATCGGAATGTTGAATTCCATTGACCAAATTTCATTCCCTTATTTGGTTCCTTTTTTTCACGAAAGAAATCTTCAAAATCCTACAAATTCCACAAATAAAGGAATTTAACATTCCTTAGCAACTACATGGTATTTTGATGGAATGGAATTCTCTATTTTCATAATACCAAATATGCCCTTAACCCAATATACCTAATCTCATAAAACCCAATATGACCATCGTCGACCACCTTCGATTGCCGTCGATCTGAATCACCGTCGACCACCGCCAATTGAACCACCACCGCCGACCACCGTCGATCTAAACCACTGTCAACCATCGCCATCTGAACCACCGCCAACTACTACCGATCTAAATCACCGCCGGCCACCAACGATTTGAACCACATCCGACCACCGCCACTAAAGCACCACAGACCACCGTCGATCTGAACCACTGTCGACCACCGTCGCTGAAGCACCACAGATCACCGGCTACCACCGATCTGAATCATAGCCGAACACCGTCGACCACCAACAATTTGAACAACCACCGATCTGAACCATCGCTGTTACCGTCGATCTGAACCACCGCTGACCACCTCCATCTGAACCACTGCCGACCACCGCCATCTAAACTACTGCGGACCACCGTGGACCACCACCGATCTAAACCACCCCGACCACCGTTGATTTAGTAACATCGTTTGGCTTATGGTTATATTTGGATTGTATGTTTTATATATTAAATAATTATTTTATTAAAATATTTTTAGTTTTTAAAAAACATAAAATTTTCAAAAAAAGGTATTTTGGTCATGTACCAATATTTCATACCAATTCCAAAGCTACATTCTATGAACCAAACAAACAGATTCCAATTCCTTAACAGATTCCATTCCAAGTGTCTGTCAACCAAACAGGTGGTCAAACCTGGCAACATTCCATTCCAATTCCTTCAAAGTCGAATTCCTTTAACAGATTTCATTCCATCCAAAAACATTTTGTGAACCAAACGCCACCTTAGAGAACCAAACATGAGATAGAAGGGAACAAGTCATTCTATCTTTTGGAACATTTCTTTTTGAACTTCTTAAACTAAAGTCACATGCATATCCTTCTCACTGCAGAAAATAATTATATTCATTGAGATTCATAAGGTACTCCCACTTTGTCATTAATGAAGGTAATTAGACATTTAACTGAGACTCCAAACACTTCCATGGTTCCCTAAAAAAAATTACAAATTGTTTGCAATTTTCATGGGAAGGATGAAGTAAATAATAAAGGCAGAGAGTTGTTAACATATCCAACTACTCATAATAAGAAATAAGTAAATGTCAGTTTTCCATGCGATGGCACATGACGAGGCGGTACTTGTGATATCATAAATAAGTAACTGTCAGTTTTCCAGCCCTCAATTCCTACATGGTATCAGAGCTATACCTCTAAAACCCTAAGTTTCTCCTTCCTGTTGCCATATTTTTTTCCGGCTATCATCTACCCACTAATGGGAACTTCCGACGACTCTGCTTCATCAGATACGATTCCTCATCAAAGCTCAAACACCACCCACTTTCTCGGAAGTAACAAAATGATTAAAATCAAAGCATTAAACTAAGAAATAAAATATCTTAAAAAAATTCTTCTTCACTCCCAATCATATGTCACAAACTCAACGGACAGACTTACCTTCAATGGTCTCAGTCCGTCCTCATATAGGTCTCAAAGAGAGGAAAAGATGATTACCTCATTGGTACAATCTCTCAACACAAAGATTCAGACCCCTCATATCACCAATGGAAGTCCAAAAACCATATGGTGATTTCTTGGCTGATAAATCCCATCCTCCAAAGCTTTCTTCTTTGTTGTGCTGCCCAAAAAATCTAGAAAGCAGCCCGTGATACCTACTCATGTTCTGAAAAAACACTTCAGAACTTTCTGATACATAAGCCAAACTCTTTGAACTCAGGCAACGAGCCTCAGATGTTACACAATACTTCAACACAATCACAAGGTATTAGCAACCCCTTGATATGTTGAGATATATTCTTAGAAGTGCCCTAATGATGAGAACAGATTTAGGAATTCTGCTATATTTCTTATTCATTCTTGGTAGAGAAGCATACAATATAAATACACAAGGCAAAGGGAAAGAAAAGGGAATTATTCTATGAATCTCTGATTTTATGGGATTGCCTACAATCACTAATATTATGGGATTATAATATTGGCTCCCATTACTCCTACATTAAATACATAATCATTTACATTTTTACATTTTCCCACACTCCCCCTTAAGCTGGTGAGTGGGAGTTTCCCATTCCCAGCTTGGATAAAATTCTCTCGAACATCGGTCTACTTAGTCCTTTGGTGAAAACATCTGCTAGTTGTTCATGAGTAGGCACAAATGGAGTACAAATTAAGCCACTGTCTAGCTTCTCCTTGACAAAATGTCTGTCAACTTCCACATGCTTTGTTTGATCATGTTAAACTGGATTGTGAGCTATGTTTATTGCCGACTTATTGTCACAATAGAGCTTCATTGGTCCCTCCCAATTCATCCTTAGATCTTTTAGGGTGATTTTTAGCCACAATAGTTCATATATACCATGTGCCATTGCCCGAAATTCGGCTTCGGCACTAGATCGTGCTACCATGCTTTGCTTCTTGCTTCTCCATGTCACAAAGATTTCCTCCGAAAAAAGTGCAATACCTTGTTATCGATCTACTGTCAACTAATGACGTAGCATTGCTTGCATCGGTGTATGCTTCAAGAGTTACACGGTTATTTCTTTCAAACAGGATTCCCTTCCTTGGTGCTCCTTTGAGATACTGTAAAATCCGGTGTCCGGTTCGTAAATGGGTTTCCTTTAGGTTATGCATGAACTGACTGACCATGCTTACAACATAAGCTATGTCAGGTGTGGTATGAGACAAATGTGTACCTACAAGCCGTTGATACATTTCTTTGTTCACAATTGCATCTTCTTCTGCATTTCCTAGTCTATGATTCGGGTCTACAGGAGTACTAGCAGGTTTGCATGCACCTTGACCTGTTTCCATGAGCAAATCTATAACATACTTCAGTTGGGATATAAAAATTCCCTTTCTTGAATGATCAACATAAATTCCAAGGAAATACTTCGGTCTTCCTAATGTCTTGATCTCATTCTTTGGCTCGACATAGGCTCAGGGCTTGTGACTCTTCTTTATCATCTCCTGTTACAATGATATCATCCACATAAACCAGTAGCACTGTTATTTTTTTTGTTTTCGAGTGCTTGATGAACAGAGTGTTATCCCCTTGACTATGTTTATATCCCAAAGTTAACATAGACCTGGTAAATCTCCCAAACCATGCTTGAGAAGATTGTTTTAAGCCGCATAGTGCCTTTTTTTAATTTACACACCGTATTGGGTTTTGTTCCTTCTCCATGCAAGAATGCGTTTTTTACATCAAATTGATGCAAATCCCAATCAAGATTAGCAGCTAGGGATAGAATTACCCTAACTGTATTCATTTTTGCAACAGGTGCGAATGTCTCAAAGTAATCAATGCCAAAAGTCAGCGTATATCCCTTGGCTACCAGTCTTGCTTTATACCTCTCAATTGACCCATCCGTGTTATATTTTACTATATAAACCCATTTGCATCCTACTGGCCTTTTTCTTTCTGGCAATTTAACCAACTCCCAAGTTTTATTCTTTTCAAGTGCTTCCATTTCCACATTCATGGCTTGCTTCCAATTTTCATTAGATAWTGCCTCAGATAAATTTGTAAGAATGGAAATGGAGTTGAGGTTGACAAGAAATGCTTTGTAGGTGGGAGAAAATTTTTGGAAAGAGGTGTAGTGTGATAAGGGATACAATGGTCTTTTTGTGCATTCTCTTGTTCCCTTTCTAACGGCAATAGGCAAATATTGGTCACTTGTTTGAGATTCCGTTACGCTTTGCAACGATATAGAGTCAAAAATTGTTACCTCGTTTTAAGGACGAGTATAAGATGTCCAAGAATGTTCTTCTTTTGTCTTGAGTATATCAGGTTCTTCCTAAACTGAGTGGATTAGGATTCTGGAATAGGTTCACGATCTGGTGGAATTGTTTCAGAGTAATGAGTAATAGGAGTACTTGGGGAGTGTTCAGGCTCAGGGATAGGAGTGGAGTGAGATTGGGATGGAATAGGCTCACAAGCTGGTGAAACTATTTCGGGATCATGGATAACAAGAGTATTTGGGGAGTGCTCAGGGATAGAAGTGGAAGCTAATATAGATAATTCAAGAAAAATATCTTCCTGGCTACCTTATCTTCCTTTCGATCCTCCCCCTGAAGATAAGGTTCGGTGAAGTAGGGATTGTTTTCACTAAAGGTTACATCCGTTGACACAAAAAAACTTTCTAGATGGGGGGTGGTAACATTTGTACCCTTTCTGGGTTGAGGAATATCCCAAAAAACACACTTCAAAGACTGAGGATCAAGTTTGTTTCTGTCTTGGCTATGGACGTGAACAAATGAAATACATCCAAAAATACGGGGTACAAGATTGTTGGAAGTTGAAATACATCCATAGGTCTTTTGAATCCTAGAACTCGTGTAGGGAGCCTATTTATAAGATAAGTTGTTGTGAGCACTGCTTCTCCCCAAAAATGTTTTGGAACATTATTTTGAAATAATAATGCTCTGGTTCGATCTAATAAATGTCCATTTTTCCTCTCTGCCACTCCATTCTGTTGAGGTGTTTTAACACATGAAGATTCTTGAATTATTACCTTTTTTTTAAATAGGAGGTGAGAGTTTGAATGAAAAAGTCTCGAGAATTATCGGATCTTATTTTTTGAACTTTTACTCCAAATTGATTTTTTACCATCGAAATGAAATTAGGGAGAATAGTGCTAACATAAGACTTACGTTTTAATAAGAACACCCAAGTAACCCGTGTACAATCATCAATGAAGGTCACGAACCATCTTGCACCCGACACATTAGAAATATTAGATGGACCCCAAATATCAGTGTGAATAAGATAAAAAGGAGAGTTGTTTCTTTTATCACTGATAGAAAAAGGGGTACACTTGTGTTTAGCAAGCTCACATACCTCACAATGAAGGCTTTCTATATCGATTGTTTTAAACAAATAAGGAAAAATAACTTTAATAATCCTAAATGAGGATGACCTAAACGACAATGATGAAGTATGATTTTTTCTTTATTGGAAAGAACAGATTCTGATACGAGAGAGTGAGTCAATCTGGTACTTTTTGGCATCTCAAGACAATATAGGTCATCCTTTTCCTTAACAAGTCCAATCGTCTTCCCCAAATCCTTTTCATGAAGCAAACAATATTCGTCATAAAATACCACTTGACAAGGTAAATCTTGTGCTAGTTTCTTTACAGAAATCAGATTAGTGGACAATTTTAGGACGTGAAGAACATTTTTTAAATGAATGGATGAGCTGAGTTGGATATTTTCTATACCGGCAACGGTGGTTTGAGTTCCATCAGCAGTGGCAATTTTCTTGTTACTTGGACAAGGTGAGTATGTGGAGAAGTGTTTGGGAAGAGTTAGTCATATGGTCAGTTGCTCCCGAATCAATGATCCACGAGTATTTTAGGGTTGAACATGAAACATTAAATCCAAATGAAAAAGGATGCTCACGTGTATAGGTTAAAAAACAAGTACCTGGGAATAACTATCCACCACCAAAAGGTTTTTCCAGAGTGCTGAAAAATGACCTGAGATAGTTCTTTCCATCCAATCGGCATGATGCATGGATGTGCTGTAAATCTCCTGGTTGAGAAACATGGGTTATGGCAGATTCTGATTTGGGTTATGTCATTCTTTCGATGTTGGGTTAGGAATTGTTGGCAATGAAGGCCACAAAAAAGGAATCAAAGGAAGGAGGCCTGCGTAATTTTCAAAGAAGGTTTATGAAGGCTAAAAAGGCTTCCCAAGCTACGATAGCTCTGATACCATAAATATAAATACACAAGGCAAAGGGAAAGAACAGGAAACTATTCTATGAATCCCTGATTTTATGTGATTGCCTACAATCACTAATTTAGGGGATTATAATCGGCTCCCATTACTCCTACATTAAATACATAATCATTTACATTTTTTACATTTTCCCACAGATGCAACCCTCTACAAAGAAATCATTGAGAAAAAGAGAACATTTAGATTTACATTAGGGTTGAAGAAAGAACTTGACCGAGAGGTTCTCTTTGAAATCAGAAATAGAATCATGAGCCTCAAACCTCTCCATTCAATCTGAGAGGTTTTTTCTAAAATCCAAAGGGAAGAAAGTCGGAAAAGACCGATGATGCCGAACTCTTCACCGCACTTGGATGCATTTGCCTTAAACTCATTCGGTTTCTTCGATTAACAAGATTCAAAAGGGCAAACCAAGGTCTAATCACTGCCAAAGACCAAACGATCTTTGTGAATGCTAGAAAATCCATGGAAAACATGCAGATTGGAAAACTAGAAGTAGGAGTGATCAAGGACACGTCCACATGGTTGCAAACAATGAAGAAACATCAAAAGAGATCAGCCCCTTCAAAAAGGATCAGATCAATGCACTCCAATTTCACAACAGCCAAACTCACCTTCAATCGGTGCAAATGTCAGTCACCAAGGTATCTCTTCTCATGCATTCACTACAGCCCCCAACCCCACGGGTCTATGGATAGTGGATTCAGGGGCATCCGACCAAATGACAAATGATATAAATGATTTTCATACCATCACACCATTTGTATATCCTCTCACGGTCAAAATTGCAGACGGTTCCATCTCCAAAATAACAAGAATGAGATCTGTAAAGTTATCAAATGACCTCTTCCTCTCATCAACCCTCTTTGTTCTTAAATTAAATTGCAACCTTTTGTCTATCAGCAAACTAACTACAAATCTAAATTGTGTCTAATTCAGTTAAAACTTGTGAATTTCAGGTGATGGGTTCGGCAGTGCTGAAGTGCATGATGGACTCTGTATTCTCAAGGACTCTCCTAAAAATGACAACACAAGACAGATTGTGTTTTCCATTCCAACTTCAATTGAGATGGGAATGCTCTTAATGGGTGATAAAATCTTGTCGAAAACAATCTCTTATTTCTTCGTCAAGTAACCAAGGAAACCTTCAAACTTTGTTCCAAATTGAAGACCAAGATTAGCCTTAGGGGCCGTTTACTAAACGATTACCTGGTAAGTGCTTACCGAGTTACTTTACCTTATCGGATGAACATGATAAGGTTGAGAATCTTACCCGGTACAAGCGATGACAAGAACCGAGAATCTTACCCGGTAAGTGAGAGTGACAACTCTTGTCCAGTAAGCGCTTAACAGATAAACATGTTGCATACGATGTTGTTTTAATGGACTAAAATCTTGCCCAATAAGTTAAGTGAAAGTGTGAACTCTTACTGTTAAACGCTTACCCATAAGCATTGGGTAAAAATCCCCATAGTCTTTTAGCCCAAGTTGTGATTATTTCATCCATAGATCATTTAAGTTCAAGTAATTGCAGCAAAGTCCACACATGGCCCATGTTTTAGCCATAAGTCACTCATTTCAAGTCCAAACGGACTCGATTCAAAGCACATTCAAATAGTAGTCTTATACCCACAATTTAAGAAGAATCCACACCCATAATGAAGGTAGAAGCCCCGTCCAAGAGGCCCATTATGATATCCAAGTTCTTGCAACTCATCTCATTGAATTGGAAGTCATTTTGAATGTTGCTATCATTATGAAGTCATTTACTTAGAAGGCATTTGAAGGTGGCTACAATTAAAGCTTTTGACGGAGTTACAAGTGAAATAAGTGGTTTTACTTATATGATAGTTTATCATGATATGTTAAGTTTCTTATCTAGATAAGTAGTAGTGCTTACATTTTCATCTATAAATAGGCTCCAATGTAATCATTTGAAGATACCTTTGATTTGAATGAAATTGGGAGTTTTAAACTCTCTTAGTTCTTTGTGAACTTTGTCACTTATCAAGTCTTCTACTTTGCGGCGTTTAGTACTTGTCAATCAACTCGATGGGTTGATTGTGGCATATCTCTATACCAAAGTTCTTGTCTCTTTATAGACGAGTCACAGTTTCCACCCTTACTATCTTGGGCATCCAATAGAAGATGGGACGAATCACATCAGGGAATAAATCATTAACTTACTATTAATCCTTATTGTTTTAAACTGACACTAACATAATCATACCTGAAAGATGGCAACTCAAGCTCTGATGACTTGGTAATATGACCATGCTCTGAGGTACCAATGAGATAATCATACCCACCCTACAAAAAATAATATAGATGAAAGAAACCCACCACAAATACCATGTGCAAGAAAAACTGAATACTACTCTTCTAATAAAATAATTTAATCAAGACAGTACCTTATATGGACAACATTTAACTACAGAACTGATATTGGCAGCATATCTCACTTTATAGCCCCAATACATTCCTGCTTCTTCCCTAGGCTTGGACGACGAGACAACCTGTCGTGGCTGATCTAGAAAACCAGACAACAAATACTAAGCTTTATGAATGACAGATTAATCAGCAATATAGAGCAAATCTTAACTACTAAAATAGGAATGCACTTATCCTAATGTCCCGAACAAACAATATCAGTCAGTTTAACAATGCTAAAATATCAAAAGAATCACAAATAGATGCATCAATATTGTAGCTTGATAGCCAAGCTCTTCTTCAACGTAGTCCACCTAAATTATCAAAAGAGTCATAAATAGATGCACCAAAGTCGATTACATTTGATAGAGACAAAATTTCTAAGCCATTTTTGAATCACATTATGGCGGATGTTTGGTAGGAATGGCAATGGGCCAGGTTTGGGCCGGTTTTTAGTGTCCCCGTCCCCGAAACCATTAACCATAACCATCCCCGTAACAGCCCGATCCCCATCGGGTCCCCGCGGTTTCCTCGATCCCCGTTGGAGAACCAATTACCGTTACCCATTGGTTATACCCGAAACCAAACCCAAAACCAGCCCGGAAAAACACAAAAAGAGTTGTGAAACAATGGGGTTTCTTTCAGTAATAACCATTATAATAACATTACATCTACTTTAACAAAAAGAGTTGTGAAAGAGATGTCAAACAATGGGGTTTCTTTCTACAAGTCTACAATCATTATAAAAAGAGTTGTGAAACAATGGGGTTTCTTTCACTAACAAAAGAGCTGTGAAACAATGGGGTTTCTTTCTACAATCATTATAACAATTTTACATCTACATTCAAACAATGGGGTTGAATTTCACTAATGATTTCACTATCAAACTTACAGTGCTGTGAGAGGCTGTGAAAGACCTCGACTCCATGAGAGACAGTGATGGTGAAGACTGAAAACTGAGGAAAGTAGAGAGACGACAAGTGAAGACTGAGGAGAGACCGAGAGCGATCAGGTCAAAGAGGCAGGAGCAATGCATGAAATCGTGGACATGAAGACTGAATCTGATCTGATCTGATCGATTTCAATTTCTTTGTAAGGATTTGGATTTAGGCCATAAAGGGTTTGGGATTTATACTTATTACTTAATACTTAAGGCCCGGGGGCGGCGCAACGCTTCGATGACAGTAAGGGAACGGGAAGGCACCGATGGTGGTGCAGATCCTTGAGGACGGTGATGTTGGGTTGAGGGAACGTCTGCTTGACTGCTTCCCCTTTATCCACATGAGAGATGCATGTATACTAGAAAGTTACTCGTGAAATCCAACGACATACATTTCGATTTTAATGTTCGTATGTTTTTTGTCTTTGTCGATATAATACGGTTTTATGTGCATGGTTTTGAAAAGCGATAATGTTTTCATTTTTAAATAAAATATAGATTTAAAGATATAATAAAAATTTGAAAGAAAATATATCAATATTAGTATGATATTAACTATTTAAAAGTTCTCCTTTTTGTGTGTTATTCTTTATTATAATTTGATTTAAGTTTAATAATAAAGTAATATATTTTTGGTTTAATAATATAATCTTTTATAAAGATAATAATTAAATATTTTGTTAGAACTCAATGATTATTCTAATTATATTTTAAATTTTTTATATTTAAAATGAGATGTTTATCATGTATTTAATTATGTTTATCTGCAGTTAGTTACACAGATTTAAAAATGGAGCAACTTAGTTACATATAATTTATTTGTAATCTTGAATTTTAAGTAATATGCATCAATAAACAATACTTCATTCATAAAAAATGGTTTTTTAAGAGTTTTTCTCAAATGTTTTATAATATAGTATAAATATGTATTTAATATGTATATCTACATATTTTTATATAATATATAATAATATTTCCATTATTATTTTAATAAAAATGAAATAAAATGGAAAAGATAAAAAATACCCCTTGTGTCATTTTTTTAACAAAAGTTAGTCATACGAACCAAAAATGAAAGAAAGTGGCAACCGCAGTGATCAAAAGTGTGATCAGTTTGAAATTGAGACTTGAATTGATAGTGGGTGGCGAATTGATAGTGGGTGGCAACCACAGGGACCAAAAGTATAATTTACTCAAAAGTTTATTATTTATTTTAGTTAGCAAGTAATTAAAATCACACGTATCAAGATAGAATTAAGGTTACATATTTACTAATTGAGAGAATTTAAGTCACAGATTTATCCATAGAGAACTAAATTCGCACATTTATTTATAGGGAGAAAATTAAAGTTACACATTTATCTAACGTGACTGAGCACCAGCTTGTTGAGTTTCTCACGAAGCCATTGCAAAAAACTCAAATATATTTTATTTGTAACAAGTTGGTCATGATTAACATTTCCGCTCCAACTTGAGGAGTGTTAAATAGAGTAAAGTAGGGTTCCCTTTTCTAGTTAGTAGTTTGGTATTTCCTTGTTTGGGTTACTTGATGTTGTATACATCTTGTAGTCTCTTTTAGAAATAAAAAAGTGAATGACACACTGACACCTGATTTGGGTGATTACACTGTTTATGCAACTTATATAAAGTCCACCCCTTTGAACTAATAAAAAAAGATCCTACATGTTTCTCCTTCACTCTCTTGTGGGATAACTGATTTAGATCTACAACGAGATGCCCTCTAAAGGTGTGCTTTTATATGGCATTTGATGCATCGGATAGTTCAATTCAAAGAAAGCATCAGTTAAACAGTTCAAACACGCAAGAAAGAAATTCTTAAATACCATCAAGTTGGCGATTGGCTCCCATGGCTACAGTTACTCTTGTTCCAGGCTTAAGCACTTGATCAATTACCACATTCTGCAAGGAAGGACAATCAATTAACGAACATATAAAGAGCTACGAGCTCAAATGGTACTTGCCTAGAGCTAAAGGTAATGATCTTCAATAGAAATCAGTGAAGCATGGGTAATGCCATCCACTGGTTGGCATGCGAATCAAATGTAAAGCCCATAACACATAATATACCTAGAACAAGCCTCAAATATATTCACTAGAAATTTTGTTTCAATGTGTTTTGAGACATTAATATTGGCTCTTCAGTTACAATAATATTACCTTACAAAATGACAATTTGATTAGTCCTGAAACAAGTTTGGAATTCTAATTCTCACTTCATAAATGTTCTGTTTACAATTGTAAGTAATATGTGGGTATTTAACTTTATATTTTTATGTAGACAACACATATGATATACGTGCATGAGTTTGTCGACATATAATTCAACCCATTAACTTCCATACCATACTTTTGGATAAATGCATCTCTTGACGTCTTATATGGCACTGATCTTATTTGTATGATATTTGTTTGAGGTCCCCGCCCAAAGCCAAAGAAAAATTATATGAAAGAAGTGGCGTGCTCTTCTAGCCTCCGATCTCTTCATTTAAAGAAGGAAGCACTTAAAACCACAACAAATGAAAGAATACAAAGGAAGCTTCAAGTAGTATATAGACAAGATCTCTCCCACTTTAAGTTAGAATTGTCTCGCACAATACCAAACAAAAAACTTACGGTCTATATTCATAATGAGTGTTTCAAAATACTCCTGGGGGCTAAGATATCCATATATTTATATATGACTGTTAACCTTTGGCTTGAGCACTTGGCTTATACAGTTGCCAAACCTCAAACATGGTTTTTACGTATTCCCATTTATCTTATATGTGAGTGACTTTAAAAGCGTGAAAAGAATTTGATTGAAGGAAACATGATAATAAGTACTAACACAGTAACATGGGACAACACAGAGAGTTAATGAAGAAACCTATTACACTGTACATAATCCCAGATTTTGGTGATCTAGTACATAATCCCAGATTTTGGTGATCTAGATTATCGTTTCTTCTTTATTTCTTTTTTGGGGGTGCAGCAGGGTCAAGTTATATCTACTTTCTTTGGGAGCATTTGAGACGCAAACTACTTACCATGCCAAAGCAAAAGGCCTTTATCAACCATTGATTTCACTGGCATATTGAATTGTGTATCGACTAATGATGAATGTTGGATGGAATATCGAACATCTTAATATTGGAAAGACTTCAAAGATGCATATTACATATAAGTCACTCCAAGATCCTAAAGAATAAAAAAGGTGGAGTTAGTTTAGGAAGACGCATACACAAGATATAACTTGTCTTCATGTGCCAAAGAAAGTAGAAATAACTAAAATATCACATTCCCCAATTCATCCTTCGTTAAGGGACAATTATTACTAACATTTGCAGTAACTTTTATACATGCAATCAACTATTACAATTTGTCATATTAATTTGGATGTTGTAGAAGGGAGGAGTAGGAGAGGCGGGAGGTGGGATGGGGCACAGGTAGAGGATGGGGTGTGGGGAGGTGTCTGGTTTCAAGGCGCTAAGAGAAATGGAGTCGAGCATCATAGCGTTTGTGCTTACTTTTTGTACAGTATATCTCCACTTTCTTGTATATTCTTCTATGCCTTTTGCCATGCTTTCACAACACTTAATCAATTTAACCCTTTTCTTTCTTTTGGGATATACTTATGGCTTCTGCTTTTCCAAAACTCTCCGTAGGTTACCAAGTCCGTCTCGAGTACTTTAATTCTTTTTCGCATAACTTTTTTGCTCAAACTTTTTCATAAGCATGGTCTCCACTGAAACAGTCTCTCTACCCCTTGGGATAGAGATAAGGTCTATGTAAATCCTTACCCCCTTCGCGAGGGTATCCCAGGTACGTTTGGTTTGTTTTGGTTTTATTCCAGTGTTGTAGGACTTAAAACACTAAACAGAATCCAGTATCTGAAATGGTCCAATATGGATTTGTTTGTTAAAAAAAACCTCTTGACTACTATGCGACAAGCAAAAATCACTCATACCCAATCCATTAAGAGCCTCTTGTTTCCTCTTAATCGACAAAATTATCCTCATTTGTTCAACCTTTTCTCTCCAGCCACATGAGTATATCTTCTTCTCCACGTCCATGACAGCCTTCGGTTCTTCAATTTCTTAAGTACATCATCTTTAGTCTTTCCTTGTTTTTGGATTTGTTTTAAGCTCTTCCTGATTGCAGATTTCATCGGTTGTTTTTGGAATTTCTTTTTTCCCCTTTGATAGAGAAACTAGAGTATCGAAGAGATAGTCAGATTGGATTTCGGTAGCAGCAATGGTGTTGGAGCACAAAGTACTAATAGACTATCGAATTGCCACTACAAGGAATAAAATAGAGGTCCTAAGAAAGCTCTCTTTTCCACAATGCATTAAGTGACACTATGACGAAGATTGGGGTAAGTGGGTCAAAGCTCCGTTGTGAGCTTTGATCTTTGCGATGATTGAAAATAGCCTTAATTACACCTAATTGAGAAGTTTGTTTGGGGAGATAATGTAGGCTTAAGCCTTACAGACATAATTTCCAATTCTCATCTTGATGCTCTTCATTCCAATTTTATGGAGTTAACTGTGATAGTTTCCATATTAGGTTGTGTATGCACTCCGCACTCAGAGAAGGTTAGTGGTAATTCTTTCCAATCACATTATCCGTTTAAAACACCTCAAATAGTAATTTTTCATCAAGAACTTTAGACAAAGTCCCAAAATCATCAATAACACTTGTTCACTCAGGTCATCAAGCAGACCCCATAACTTGTAACACAACATAGAGAACCCAAATCCAAAAAATGTCGCTCAAACTTTCAATGTCAGCACATGTCAGTAATTTACATAAAAGATAGTCAAATTTTGTAGAATTGACTAGAATACCCTTTGATGACTTCTGATATATGAATAACCTTTATGAAATGTCAAGCTACGAGGGTGCAAGTGATACTTTAACTCAAAATGTGATTCTTGTTAACTGCTATTAATAGATTGCAGGGCAATGATAGGGAACGGAACACAAGAGAAGTTGAGAGAACTCATGAGTCAATTCATCATCCCAACAAAACACAAAGAATTACCAAAGATTCAAATCCCATAAGATATTTAGAATTTTTCATGATTTTTGTTAGACGGTAGCTTGAGTCTCTTCAGCTTAAATATTGGCATCTCTTAGTGAGAAAGAGAGATGGAGGGATGAGATATCAAGCACTTGTGTTTGTCCGACAATGCAAATGTCATATTTGTTTCCTTCCATGATTTAGTCACAAAACACAAGGTTATTTTGGGTTTCCTGATGTTTTTGAATTTTAGCTTTTTCCATTGTGAATCTTGTGGTTTGTTTATAAAATGTGGATGAGAGTTCCATGTAAGAACAGCGTTTGATGGTGGTTGTCATGAAGATGATGAAGAACTGCAAATACTACTGTGCTTTCCAAAATCATGGAGACATTAATTTGTTCCTAAGGGTGACATTCTGAATTACATAAAGGTGTCTTAAACAATTTAATCTTCATGATGAAGTTGTCAATGACCCTTGCCTTGACCTTTTTCCTAATATGTACTAGCATTTGGGTAGGCCATTTGTTTTCTAGAACATGGGGTTCTAAATGTATTTATATGATGGTTAGGAATTCAAACAAAATATCTTTCTTTTTTTCTTTTTTTCTTTTTTTTTTCAAAGTTCGTCATTTGTTCTGCTAATCCTACATCTGAACTGAACCACCAAAAAAAGCACCATTCACCCGAACTGTTTAACGACAAGAATGTTCTGGTTTTATGCTATTATATTTCCAGTCCAAATAATGAAGAAGCAAAAATTACATGCATGAAAACACATATCTAGTTAAAGAAAGTCTTCATCATGCGGTACTTTTTTTAAGGCATTGTTATTACTAATTGCATCATATTGAAGGGAGGGAGAGCTTTTCTTTAGTGTCGGTTTTTAATATGAGGCCTGTTTATGCTATATTTGTGACTTGTCTCCTCATCACAGCGTCTTCTTATTGATACAAGGTCAATTGCAAGAGCCTCCAGCGTCTGGGTACAAATGTCTTTCTAAACTATAGTTACCTTTAGACTGCATCACTAGGTCATTATGCAATCAAATTTAGAATTTCATATCTAAAAGTGCACTAATAAGATCTATTTAATCCTCTCAAAGGTGGTACATATCACTGATACTAGTTGCATGTAATAATTAGTACAAAGTGCAGATACTGATCAAATGTGTACCTTACTAAGCCCCACATCCACGAATGTGCTGGCAGAACCTGGAGGTTGTTGCATGAGTGTGACACCTATTAGATGATCAACAGTGATGATCAACATTAGTACATAAATTGCTAAAGTATGATGATTAATGAAGGAGCCAAAGCTCTTCAGAGAGCTAATGATAACACAACTTTCAAACTATTTCTCAAAGACCTCATTACAAAGAACTCTTCCAGCTAGAAAATCATGGAAGAGCAGTGTGAAGACATAGTATTGTGCTCCTAAAGTTCCAACTCTTTATTAGCAAAAGTTCCATAATCAATACGTATTGTTGGGTATCCATTCTTTGACTATGTTTCTGCTGTCTTGTGTTCACCATTTCGAAACCAAAAAAATACTCCTCTACAAAACATACATTCTTTGACTGTGTGTTGACTTGAGTTTGCCATTTTGAAACAAAGAATCTTCTACACTACATTCTTTCGATTAGCACGTGACATTATTTTCAGCTGTCAACTTAAGAGACCAAGAATTTTCCAAGTAACAGGTACAGGTGCTATGAGCAGGCAGTACTACCATATCATGAACTCAAAAGTTTATGTAGAGCTATAATTATATAATGGGAATTGCAACGTTTGAGATTGATTCTTCCCTTAAGAATTGCACATGCATGATTTCATAATATAATATAACCATGAAAGATAATCATGAAAGTCCATACTCAGACCAGAACAGTCTCTTATCAGTTTGAACAAGTTCTTCCAGAATGAAGATGTTATTTCTATCTGCAGGGCCTCATGAGATCAAAAGTCTAGTCAATATAAAGGGACATCAAATTAATTGGAAATGTGAAAACAGGATCATGAATTCGCCATTCCAATATTACCTATCCATTCATTTTCTTAAACAAGGGAATAGGTATTGACGAAAAATAAAAATAACTAAACATGAGGAAAAAGGAACAGCAAAACATGCAGAGTTAAACATAAATCATACAGGTGGCTGTCCTACTATATTAGGAATTGCCATAGGATAATGCTCCTCTGTCCATGAGAATTACAAAATCCTTTTTTCTGGAAAACCCCAAAGCTGGGATTACCTATTTTCCCATTATCATCATTCCTATATATTAATGCAAGTGTTTGGTCCACGAGGTTCAATTATATTGTCATTATTTGAAGGCATTTAAAGGGTATGGATTACATTCCATGAGTAGTTCAGTGCTAACCAGGAAACAGTTATGTGGAGCATGCACATTCAGACAACAAAAAGAATATGATGCATGAAGTTGGCTTTTATAATATAGCGACTCAGGGCCTCAAGTTTGACTCTCCCTACCCTCCACCCCACTCCCCTTCCAAACTCAAACCCACTCCATGCTAGGGGCCACGAAGTAGGGTAGGGAAAGAGACGATAGCAAGAGTAATGGAAAAACTCTTTTGGGCCTGTGATGTTGGTGTTCCATGACACAATGTGCTAGATCATCAGAGTTGAAAATTATATGCTATTTTAGTGGCGTTTGCTTGTAACTGTAGGCCATCGTTCCAACCACGAGTCAGGGACTCGTATGAAACACGAAAGCAACTGCAACAAGTAAAACTATATTGTATTCAGAATGGTTCAAAATGCCATCCAATTTGTGGGAGAAAGGATTCACATTGCTGCTTCATCATTAATGAGCTACAATGAAGTGGTGATGTTTCAATCAAAGATGTATCTAAATAGCCAAGGGAAGATTAGGAGTACATTGTATGGTCAAAGCTGCATATTTTCTCATCTAGAAAGACACAAGACAAATTAGACTAATTGCAAACTGTGAAGATATGTACTAGAACTGAGATTATCATTATTAGAGGACAGATTTTTGCATGGTTGATAACCATGTGCTTGCCACAAATACAATCATTTTCAGGGATACCTTTTAATGTAAATATGTCCAATTAATTGTACAGAGAGCATAAAAGTTTCAAATTGGAGCTGATATTCTGCTAATTGAATGAACTAAGAAGATGCACACATTTGAATATCTTATCACAATCAAGTTTGGAAAAGAAGTATCCTTCCCTATTAAACTTTCAAAACAGATTTTATCAGATATTTGGTATATTCTATTGGATGATCTTAGACAATGACATAACAAGATTAGGAAGATTTGGAGAAGAGATACAAAGAGAAATAAAAACGAGGTTCATGTCAGATTCTATCAAGAACGGAAAGGTTAGTTTAATGGTTTTTTCTAGGAATCTTACTCCCAGCTCAAATTCAAAAAACAAAACTGATTTAGGGACTGTGCCATTCATGAAAGTCACTTTGACCATCATAATGCATTTAAAGTGACATGTGAGAGAGAGAAAACTACCTTCTCTATATGGAGCCCATTCATGCTTTCGAAGATGATGTGGGGCATCAAGTGGTGGCAGTAAACCCTATAAAAGGTCATACAAAGATTAAAACACTAACAAGCGCTAATTGCAGAATAAAGTATGAATTCACTGGTTGCATGAAATTAATAATGGAAGAACATTAAGTTCGCACCACAAATCTTAAGCTGTTATGCTTCGGGAAAAGCGTCTTCCTCAGATATTGTGGTGTCTCCAGATACTTCAAGATCCTTATTAAGAAAGCAGTACCGCTCTCATTTTCATCAGAGGTATTCTCAGCTGTCACATGCAAATCATCCAATGATTTGCCTTGGTTATCAAATACAACCACCTATAAACAGAAGGCCAAATACACCCTCTTGTACATCAGTGAACTTATTAGAACTTTCTAATGTCATGTCCAAATAAAGATGGGGATGAGGTGATGGTAGAGTTTGCTGAATCAATAATGAGGGGAAGGGGCGGTGAGGTGCAAGTGAACCTGACCTCTACCCCAAAAGAGTAGACTTGCTGTTTCGTGAAGATCCCGGCTTAGACTAGCTACCAAAATAGGTTTCATCTGGGCTAAAACATTTGAAACAAACGAAAAAGCAGAAGTAGAACATATGTCCTAAGGGGGCAAAATGATACTACAGATTCATTTAGCAATCACCTTTTGTTGTTGACAATGAAAGGGGTTCACCTCTCTGAACTTCAATGGTTCCCTTCTACCCTACCCCACCTAGTTGATGATGGAAGGCGTGTTCTTGTTGTAATGGAAAAAGTACAATATCGGCCAAGAACGTAGTGGTGGAACCGGCAATTTTGAAAATAGTGAACAAAGCTACTCCTCGTCTTTCTATCTACTAATTTTTCTAGAGTCCAGTAACATACTCAAAAATAACATAGCCAAGAATTAAACCTCATCAATTCGGAAAATAGTGGCGGCACGGGCAATTTGGCCAGCTAGCTGCAAACAAGGAGGCAAAATAGCAGCCAAAATTTAGTGCAGGAATCGTACAACAGTTCCTTTTCTGAAAATAACATTACGAGCCCATCAAGCTAAAAAAACTACCCACAAAATAATCTCTTAAAGAGCTTCAGTTTCTTTCTATGTGGCAAATAATCAAACAGTTAATGTGCAAAACTCTTATGATTGTAAGATCAGAATGGCCTCAAGGGATTGACGAGAAATGGCTTATTACCCGAGTGGCGAGCTCGAACGACTGAGTATTATCTATGATAGAGCCAGGAAGGGCGATGCTGACAGTACGAGCAGTAATAACTTCATCATCCATTAACAGGTTCTTCTGCTCTTTCTCTTGTCTTGTTCTTTTTCTTCTTTCTCTTCCCATGAGAGCCGCCATTACTGCGCTTGAGGACTTGGGTCAGGGCCGTTCAAAATTATAAGTCTATTAAGCGACAAAACAAATAGTCCAAGTCCCAAAAATATTTGATCAGAGTGCAAGAGATGTGCAAGAGATAAAATTATAAGTATATTAAGATTTTGAACCTAAACAATCTCAAGTCCGTATATAATTTGAACCGATTACTAATCTGAACAAATGAATCTAAACCTAGAAAGTTAACGGCTTGAACCTAAACCTAAATGATTTGATCAATTAATTAACAATATAAAAAATGTATGTGCATCTAAACCTTAAAAGTTTTAGGGGTTGTTTATTTATCTTAATAGTTTCATTAAGATGCAGCTCCTGAATCAGTAACAAGTGAATTTTTTTTGGCAAAACAAAAATCTGTCTCTTAATGGTTCTAAAATCTTGTGAATAATTTTGTATCATGGGTCTCCTCTAACTATTTAGCGTCCTAATTTCATTGTAAACAATGACCAAACAATTATATTTCATTTTACAATATATCAATGTTTGTAACTAACTCCTTCAAATTCAAGTTGAACTTTGATCTAGAATTTTAAATTCTCATATTCAAGTAAACGGGACTAAAAATCACTATTCACCAAACCAATCCAAATTTGGCCATTTAGCAGAGTTTCAATATCATGAGAACCAACAACTTCTAAATTTACCAAATTAAACTTGTAGAAATTTGAAAGTTATAAACCTCGACTCATTGAAATTTGAAATAGACGAACTGGTGAGGGACGTTCATGCCGGTGGACGGGGGCAGCGTTCAAGCGGAGGGGGAGGGAGAGGCAGAGAGCGTTCAGGGGAGGGGCGAGGACAGAGTCTGATGAGTAGTGCTTCTAATGTCTAAACCTAACAAGGAATAAATAACATATACTTTTTATTAATTTAAGTAGAAATAAATAATATTGTTTTAATGGTTAATATATAAAAGAGAAATTAATTAAAATAGTCGTTTTTACTATGTAGTTTTACCTCCTAGCCATTAAGCGAGGGATTCGTCCATACCATCGGTCCCAAAGATCTATGATTAGCCCATGCTTAACTAGTCAAGCAGACAAATGACCATATCGTAGGTGGGTTCATTAGGTCGTACTCACCTGGACCTAGTCCATGCACATTGCACACTCCAGGAGGTTGGCTGCCTCCTAGATCCTTTAGCGGAACAAAGAAGTTTTATACACAATCCAATCTTAGGCTACATACATCTCCCTATGACGTGCCCTCCGCCCTTCTCTTTCGCTTATTAGTAGATCAAAGGATTGGATGTGAGGTTGCATCCATTCCTCAACTTTTGCCTCCTCTCGCTCTGCTCCTATGTTCCTTTAAAATTGCAGAGCATAGGTATTATGTATCAGAGCAACTCGTGTAACCTTGAGCTTCCAATGTGGCCCTTCAGCGTTGCGACCTAGTGTTCACCCCTCCTTTCTTCTTTCGTGGTATTACTAACGTATTTCCGTTTTACTCTGATCTTCGAGCTCCTCAAATCAAGTTGATGGCTATACTATCATATACCTTTTCTAGGTCTATAAAAACCATGTGTTAGGAGATGGGCACAAAGCAATCCAAATCCAAAAGAAGTCCGTCCAGTTCGGGTCCAAAAGAATGCAAACACATTAAGGATTGATAATGGAACTTTCTCCATCTAGGTCCACTTGTTTTTTTTTTCTTCTATTAACCTGGATATTCAACCCGCTATACAAGACGACTAATCTCAAAACGACCACCTACTTTACAACAGATAGTCCGGAGTCACTGTATTATCCGATAAATACTTACCAAGTAAGTGTTTAGTAAATGGTCCTTAGAGAGCAATTGTTGTGTTTTTTGTAGATGAGATCATCAACTATGCCCCCTTATTTATATACCTAAGCAAAAAATAAAAATTACAAAAATGCCATTAACTCTAGCTGTTAAGAGGTTGGGGGAGTACTAGCCATTGGCTAGGTGAGTGTTTAAAAAAGTAGCCGTTGAAGGTTGTGGGTTCAGTCTGGTCCAAAAAATGTCCGACCAAGTTATTGTCCGGTCCAAAACCCACGTACACACACGTATTTACACATACACACAACAACCATTAAACACACACCACACAACCATTGTTAAAGAGACACACACACACACACTGCCATCGTTATACACACACATCACCACCGGTAAATGGCTGTAAACCCACAAATTGATCTCCCTCACCAGAAAAATCTTGAAAAGAAGCAATCGGAAAAATGGCGGGTGAAGTGTTCTTAGGTGATGGGTGGTTGCAGCTGATGGATGTAGTGTTTGCTGGAGGAGAGAGGTGGTTGGCGGATGTGGTGGTCACCGGAGGGAGGTGGTGGAGGATGGAAGTTCGCCGGACTGTGTGTATATGTGTATTCATACTACCTTATAAACCAGATTTATCAGAAGTCTTAAAAACAACTTTTAATGCACAAAGTACTATACGTTTATGCACAAAGTCTTAAAAGTCTTAAAAACAACTTATAATGCATTAAGTACTACTAATTTATGCATTTAGTCTTAAAATCTCTTAATACGATTAAAATAATATATAGTACAAGTTACCAATACACATTATTATCTTTTTTTTCATGTTCTCAAGATATTTTTGACACCTTTCACTCATGTCTCTATGTCTTCTCCCCATCCCCCAAGGTGAAATTCAAACTGATATTCATCATAAGTTATTAAAAGTTCTCTCATTCATCTCCATTCAATTGCTCTATAACTCTCAGTTTCGCTCTCGATCTCTTGATTCTTTGCTCTTGGTACAAATCGAACATATTTATGGAGTCTTTTAAATATATTGTATTTTAAACTATCATACAATTTTTTTATCGATAGACTGTAATTAGAACCATAACTCTTATTTATTCAAATTATATTAATATGTAAAGACCAAATGTAACTTATATCATCGTTAAATTCTCTAATAAAACCAATGAAACTTTAAAATCGTTAAAATTCACGGCTCTCGTTGTATTGCGCAAGTACACAACTAGTATATACATATATGCAGGGGTGTGTGTATATATATAATTACATATGCAGGTGTGTGTGTGTGTGTGTGTGTGTGTCTACACACAAATAACACAAAATAGGATAAAGATAAAAAATGTGAAAAGGACTAAAATACCCCCATTTTTAATTGAGTTAACGGATTCTTTATTCTATCGGTGGCAAGGACTCAAAGAGTCTCATTTTTGTATTTATTTTGATTTTGGGACCAGTTTGGAAAAGGTGTAAACCACAGGGACCCAATTTGTTATTTACTCATAAAAAACACAGTTTTGCACAATACAAAAAGTGTCCACAACAATTGTGGCCACTGAGTTTATCAACTCAAGGATGATGTCTTAGGGTTGCAATTTGTAGCAGATGAACGTATGTGTAGGAAGTAACAAAGGCACCTGGTTGTTTTCCAAGAAGAAGAATTTGTCAGTTATTCTAATTAAGTCATGGTTAGATGAATTCAAACAAATCAGAAAACTAATTAAATGATAACTGAGACAGAGAGAAATAGAACACAAACATATGGGAATTTTTGCTGAAGGCATAGAATATTCATAAGATGCAATCAAATTACATAGTCAAGAATCAAAAGATAATTACAAGAAGTGTATCAAGTGCAAACTGTTAGAAGTTATCAATCCAACCCAAAAAGATGTATATAAATTGAAAGAATTTTGTAGGATAAACGAAAGATTCTTATTCAAAAACGTAAACATGTAATACAAATCTATGTAATTAACATCCACAAGGATAGAATCGAAGAAAAATACTTATACTGCAAATTCTTCGTGATATTGATCCCGATTGAGGCCTGCACAATCGCAGTGTCCTAAGACAAAAATTCGTCACTAGAATTGGCGTTCGTCTAGAGGATACAACAATCGAATTCAAGTTCGGACTTGAATATAGCGAATTAATCTATGTTTGGTGATGGATTTTTGTACAAAAAATAGGAGATAAACCAAAGCGTTTTTTCCCTCTGTTTATATCCAGCGAGAGAGAGAGAAAAATGTCGTTCGGGTTATGTCAGATTGAAAGAACCCAAGAGCCAACACAAGGCCCATCTTTTGACCTTAAATTTGTATATGTGTATCAAGGAGAGCCCACTATGAAACACCATACATCAAGACCCAAGCTTTTAAATAATTCATATAATGCTCAAGGGTTGGTGTATATTAAGTGGATTAAGTTTTCTTGGCTCTTCTATGTCGGACAAAGTTTTTCTTTATTAAATCAAGTTCCAACACAAACAACTAATTTACAGAAATATGAAGATAATGATACAAGTAGAAAACACTAATCTGAAAAGCATTTCTAAAGGTTTCCGGGTTAGTAAAATTATGATTTCTCATCGAACCACATATCACAAAATCATGGCCAAGATGTAGTATTCCAGCACACCAGCTGTTTTTACAAACGCTTGGCTTATTATAAATTTTACAAATATAACATATGAATTTAGAAGAATTAAAATAACAGACATAACAAACTATGGTTTTTTATTTTGTCAATTTCTGTGAACACCATGATATTAATTGAAGGACATGAATCCAATTTAAAACACATAATACACCCTTTTTTGGTTTGTTTTCTTAGGGCCCGTTTACCAAACGTTTACTCGGGTAAGCGAACACCAAGTCATTTTACCTTACCGGATGAATATTGTAAAGATAAAAAATTTTACTCGGTAAAAGCGAGACAACGACTAAGAGTTTTACTCGGTAAGTGAAGGCGACGACTATTACCATGATAAGCGCTTACCGGATAAATTGTTGCATACGATATTGTTTTGGTGGACAATCTTATCCGATAAGTAAATGATAGTGCTAAGCTTACCGGTAAGCGCTTACTGAATAAGTGTTTGGTAAACGACCCCTTAATTATGATGGAGAAACAGAGCAAGTTAAAGATTATGTTTTTTGATGCAAATTTCAAGAAAACACCCCCAGCCTTTGTATGATGTATCTAAAGCATGCAAAAACAATGTTCTGCATTCATACCATAATCATCGGATTAAAAAGAACAACATAAGCAGATAATGTAATACAAACTTGACTTGATCCAACAAACTGCACACAACAAATTACATGTACTTGATATGTAAAATGGACATGATCAATTTAGATGGATGTAAAGTTGATATATGCCAAAACTCTAAATAAATAAACAAGAATACAAATTATACAGAATAATGGTTACAAATGTTGTTTAACGATTACAAACCTTAATAGACTAATGGTAAATGTTGAAAGTTTAACGATTACATACTATAATTGTAAATGTTTAAAGTTTAACGATTTAATCCAATTAAACACACAATTTGAAAAAATACAAATCATTCAATCTCAAATTCTGAATCTCGTTTCAACTTCTTGCATGCCCATCGCATCATCAACCTCGTACGGTACTTGTGAATAAATTAGTGTTAAAAAAAACCAACACAAACTCGTAAAAAATTGCACATGTTTTTAACAAAAAACTACACAAATTTTATATAAAAAAACTGCACAAACTTTGTATAAAAAACTGCACTAATTATATAAAAAACTGCACATATTTTTAACATAAAACTACACAAATTATATAAAAAAGTGCACATATCGGTTCCCGAAGGGTAACAGTTCCGAAAAATTGAGAATCAAAACCATTCTCAATCGGTTCCGTATTTTAGGAACCGGAACCATTCATATCGGTTCTAGTTCCGGAACCGGCAGTTCCGATTCCGCAAGTGGATACCCGGTTCCACAAATGGGTACCCAATTCTGCTGCTCACCCCTAAATTTATTATGCTCATGGATAAGATGTAAAGATTCCTTGAAAATACTTGTACATGATGCATAAATAGTTGTCTTTAATAGTTTTTTGAATTTTATGCAATAGTAGCTTGCACATGATGCATAAATAGTTGTCTTTAATAGTTTTTTGAATTTTATGCAATARWAGCTTGCACATGATGCATACATAGTTGTCTTCAATTATTTTCCTGTATAAGTGATTTATAATGAAGTATAGATATAGATGAATATACCTTTTTTAAAACTACAAAGCTACTCATGCAATCCAACGAGATACATTTTGATTTTAATGTTTCGTATGTTTTTGTCTCTCTCGAGATACATTAAATATTATGTTATAACTTAATGATTATCTTAATTATATTTTATTTTTTTATATTTAAAATAAAATGATTATCATATATTTAATTATGCAGTTACCTGCATATATTTAAAATATAGTTTTAATAAGTCGTACTTACGTATAATTTTTTTGTAATCTTGAATTTTAAATAATATACATTAATAAACAACACTTCATTCATAAAAAAAATGTCTCAAATGTTTTATTAATATAGTACATATATAGATAGGAGAACAATTTTTATAAATAATAGGTAGTCGAATGACCATTTTTGTATTCACTTTCATTATAATCGTGAAAGGAGATGAAAGGAACAAGACACGAAGTCATTCGACGCCAACTTCAGGTTACTTTCTCAAAACCCTAATGTGACATTTGGTTCATAGATTCTGAAGGAATTAGAATATTGAATTTCTTTGACCAAATTCGTTTCTTTCGTTTGATTCATTCTTTTCAATGAAAGAAATTTTCAGATTCCTATCAATTCCATGGATAAAAGATTTTAACATTCCTTAATAAATATAAAGCATTTTTGGGGTGTTTGGGATTGCTTATTTGAAATAATTTATCATTTTCTACAAAAACACTTATCAACTTATTATAAGTCAGAAAAATTTAATTTTTTCAAAAACTTCTTATTACCGATTTGACACCGATATAAATTATTTATTTAAACACTTTTATTACCGATGCCAATAGTGAAAGGAAACTTGTTATTTTCATAAAACACCCAATGTACCCTCGACCGTATCGTAATATCCTAATCTCACAAGAAGCCGACAACATTTTCCGACACCATTGCTGCTCGATCTGTTGCTTCTCCAACTCGCTTAACAGGTTTGATTTCTCATCTTTCGATTTCTACCTGCTCGGTCTCGATTTTGTTTCTCTCTGTTGCTCGATTTTGTTTCTGCTTACTCGATTTCTCTCTAATCTGCTCGATTTTGTTTTTCCATGCTCGATTACTGTTGCTCGATTTCTCTTGTTTGATTTTTATTGCTCGATTACTTTTCAACCAGCGTAGTGATGTGGATTCACCTAAAATGTTGCTCGATTTCTCTTGCTTCACTGCTTTTGCTCCCTGTGACATTACATTTGCTTAAAAATGAGTTAAACCATGTTATTTTCATAAATTTGTACTCTACACACTTATTCAATAGAAGGGGAAAAAAAAAACTTGTACTGACCATAACCAAGAAATAGAAGGAAAAAGAACTTGTTCAGGACTGATCCAGGATTTGATGGTCCTAATCAGTCTTATCACGCTCTTCCATTTATCAACTGATTTTTGTTTATTTCATTCACGCATTTTATCACATGAATGCCTAGCAACAATCATACATTTAACTATATCAATTTGTTCACAATATATGTCTATCAATGTGGTATCCCGTATCCATATGTGTATAAATGAAAAAACTTTATGGATTTTACCTGCAAATACATAACTGTAATCCAGAAGTATCTTGACAAAATTAGTGAGTAGGAATGTCTGGAGAATTAGGAATTGCTGTGATTTTAATGTGTGCGAACTGTTCAGTTCAACGAAATTACTGGACTGATTTGTATGTGTATGTGTTCTTTTCACTAGAATTGGTCTCAAGTTCGGTTTAATGTGCAAAATCTTTTGTAGAGTCGGCTATAGTGAGTTGAGTCAAGGAGTGATCATCATGGGCATAGGCCTGGGTCTGCAAGTACATTTGGATGGGTCTCACCCACCATCAAGATGTGTGCAAGACACATATTACATGATCTTTTTGCTCTCATGCTTGAACACCACCCACCAAAAATACTTGTGAACAAGCTAATTCAACTGCTTCCTAATCAAATGTCAGATGGGCTTCTTACCATAATACAAAGAGGTATCACTTTTATACATAGCTGAATCAGTATAAGCAAACCAAACCAAACAAATATGGTATATCCCACTCAGAAGCAGGGACAGGGGTGGGGTGAGATATATGCAGACTTGTCCTTTGCCCTCACAAGATAGAGAGGCTGTTTCCTTCTGTAGCATTGGCCTTGCCCATTCCACCAGATTCTGCTCATTTCTTCTGTAGCATCGGCCTTGCCCATATCTTTTGCTGAGTAGCGTTGGCCTGGCCCATTCCACCAGATTCTGCTCCTTTTGGGGGCGTGTTAGGATGAACTTGGTTTTGAGGTTAAAACAGCATTTTAGTTTTATTTGATGGTTAAATATTACAGGATGAACTTGGTACCAGAGGCTGCTTTTACCGCTAAAATTAGGATATCAGAGGCTGCTTTTACATGTTTGATTGGTTAAGTGGCAAAGTAACAAAGATTTCAAACAAGAATCTGTTAATTGATTTTACAAACAAGAAAACTTATTCTACTGAAGGTTAAACTGCATAATGCTTACCAGAGTTGATGTTTTTCCCATTAATCTTCTCCAACTTGTTGATGTCCACCTTCATGTTTATTACAAAAAATACAGGCTTAATTCCAAATAATATATGCTCTCTGTTTTAAAAGACCACACTCTTCATCCACCTCTATGTACCCAAGCTTTGTAAGAATTAGGAAAGTGGTATTAACCTTATGACTATTGGCATGAACATGACTGGTTTCAGCTTTGACTGGAATAGATTTACTTCTACAAAAGAAAAACGGTATTGAAGAGTTATAAAAGAATCAACATGCATCCTCAAGAACACTGTAGTCAACTGTCAAAGTGGCTAATATATACAAGAAAGAACACTGTGGAACTATGAGCGCTATTACTTGGTTTTTCAGTATAATTTGTTGTTTATTTTTTTATTTTATTGCAGCTCATGTTCTTCATCAATCGCTGTTGGTCCTTTCGTGGTTGATTACAATTCTCTCTCATGTTCGATGAAGGTTTATTTGGATTATAGTGAAATTCAACCACCAATTTCTCTTCTTATATATGTAATTGATTAAGGGATTCTTATCCCATGTTTGTTGTGGCCAAATTTGATCCAACAGAATAGAAATCCTAGTAGGAACGCAAAAAAAGATCTTGTATCAATTTCCGGTGCTTGATGCTTATTGCAAGTTAGGTATTTAAGTTCGACATCATTTTCTCATTGGAAATCATCAGACACAATTTGCTAATAGGGCCCAGGAATGACATACAACCCATCCCATTCTCCAAGTTGAATGCCCAATGCATGCAACTGGTGTGTTCTATGTGGTAGATACTCTGAAACGTCTTTCTGCCTTTTTGATAACCATTAGCATGTGATTGATTTTGGTGTGTAAAACAAGAACAATTTTTTATTAAATGTTGGCTTGTTTTAATTCTATTACTCTATACAGTGACCATGTTATTATGTGTGTAAGTTTTTGACTATATATCTATAGTTGGTATAACTCTTGATTATACTTTGATTATTCATCTCAATTCATACATCTAGTATAAATGTGTATTCTCTGCCTATCTTTATATGTGTTCTCATGAAAAGTTTGTGGGCATTTACATATGTTTGCAAATTGAGGATCTTGATTATGTGCTCAAATGGTTTAATTGGTTGGATATGAAGTTGGTTTTTCACAAATGGAATCATGATCATCCTTTCTTGAATTGTTAATGGTTGGATATTTCAGTTGAATTTAACTAAAATGAATTGATTCAAATTTCAGATTTCAGACGTTTGTCAGTTTACAAAAACAAATAGTCTTATTGACTCAGGTTTCAGACTTCAGACGTTTGTCAGTTTACAAAAACAAATAGTCTTACTGATTTAGGTTTCTGACTTTGAAACGTAAAAACAAACAGTCTTACGCATTCAGATTCCAGACTTCAGCACCACCTCTTATAAATCAGTATTCAGACTTCAACATCTCTTAAGAAACCAAAGCCACCTAATTCATAAAGTTTTGGAAAAAAATTCTTTCCAGCCCTCACCAGCAACGATAAGTAGGGGTATATTACAACATATACTAAAATATGGTTGTTAGTTGGAGACTAATTTCTACCCTTCAATAGCAACAATGACAACATGGTCTTTGACAGGGTATAATATCGAAACATTTTTTTTCATGTGAGAAACTAGGGATTTTTGGCTATGTTTTCCAAATGTGGTAATTTTTAAAACCCAAAAATGAGATTTAAGAATAAAAATTGAAAGCTAATTTGGGGTTTAGGTGAAATTTTTTGTCAACTTTTTTGAAAATGAAATTGATGTTTAAATCCAAATGTGCAAGTAGAAGTTCATTTCATATTTCATTGTGTTAACAGTTGAGAGTTGGGTGGACAGCTTTTGTCTACAAATAAAAGCCAACGGTATTTCCACATCTCTCTTTTCTTGTTTTCTCCGCCCCTCTTCGTTTTCATCCCCCCTTTTATTCTTTTTCCTCCCCCCTCATTCAATCCCCAAACCCTCAACAGATATTGCTGCTGCTGCTGCTGCTGCTTAGCTAACAATGGCTTTCTCTGGAGCCAAGATTATCCAGCCTCTCCCTCTCCACACTACTATCAGATCACCTAACAACCCCTTACTCTTCGATCCCTTCACTTCATCCCCTTTCCTTGGATCAACCCGGACCCTCCGCCTTTCCCAATCCATTTCAGCTTCTCAACGTCGATGTGCTTCTCATATCGTTGCTGTCTCCGATGTTTTCAAGGAAAAGAAGCTCAAATCCAATACCAATCTCGTAAGTTCTCTCTCTCTTTTTTACTCGCTCAGTCTTTATTCAAAATCTTCTTGCTTTTTTCGTTAATGGGTTTTCTGCTTGTTTATAGCCAATTACTTGATAGACATATTGAAATTGCCAATAAAAAAATTTAGGTTGTTTAACTTTATTTTAATACTTTTTTCTAAGTATATAATATTTATATACGAACAAAATGCAACAAATAAACTCACACACTCTCCTTACTTTTGGTACACACCCTCCTTCCCTTTGGTGAGGTTTGAAACCCCTGACCTTAGGAGGCCAAAGACTACGATACCGCTAGGCCAAAGGACTTTTGGTAACTTTATTTTAATATTTGCAACACTATTAAATCATTGTTGACATGCAGATCAATCTGGCCTAAAAAATTGATCATATCTGAAGCTCTGGGGATATACGCAAGACGGGAAGATATCAAATTACTTTATTATTAAATTGATCTATGGCCTTTATTCTCTGTGTGTACAGCTGCTTACCAAAGAAGAAGGTTTACAAGTATATGAGGACATGATCTTGGGCAGAGCTTTTGAGGATATGTGTGCACAGATGTATTACAGGGGTAAAATGTTTGGTTTTGTTCATTTATACAATGGCCAAGAAGCTGTTTCCTCAGGATTCATCAAGCTCTTGAAGAAGGAGGATAGTGTTGTGAGCACCTACCGTGATCATGTTCATGCCCTGAGCAAGGGGGTGCCTGCCCGTGCTGTCATGAGCGAGCTCTTTGGGAAGAAAACCGGTTGTTGTCGTGGGCAGGGTGGATCTATGCACATGTTCTCTGCTGAACACAATGTTCTTGGTGGGTTTGCCTTTATAGGAGAAGGCATCCCGGTTGCCACAGGTGCTGCATTYGCTAGTAAGTACAGGAGGGAAGTTTTGAAAGAAGCCGATTGTGATCATGTCACATTGGCATTCTTTGGAGATGGAACTTGCAACAATGGGCAGTTCTTTGAGTGCTTGAACATGGCAGCTCTATGGAAATTGCCTATCATATTCGTGGTGGAGAACAATCTGTGGGCAATTGGAATGTCCCATCTGCGTTCAACTTCAGATCCAGAAATCTGGAAGAAGGGTCCAGCTTTTGGGATGCCCGGRGTTCATGTTGATGGTATGGATGTGTTGAAGGTRAGGGAGGTAGCAAAGGAGGCTATTGGAAGGGCTAGAAGAGGGGAGGGGCCAACATTGGTTGAATGTGAGACTTACAGGTTTMGAGGACACTCTTTGGCTGATCCTGATGAGCTTCGTGATCCAGGTGAGTGGGTCATATTATAAGTCTCATGCTTACTGATCTAGTTTTTAGTTTCCTGTTAAAAGAATTTAGGGGCTGAATAGGGTGTATGGTTTATTCCGTAAGCCATAAAGAGGTGGCTTAATGGCTCAACTAGGATCTTATTCGGTCGACCGACTAATAGATGTTGTCTACATTCAGCTCTTGTTTTTTACCAGCTATCATACCGATGATGGCCTCCATAGTCTGGCTCATTTGGAGTCCTAAAATTTATATTCTTAATGACACGTGTTTTAAGTGGGGATAGAACGTATTATCAGTTGCACCCTTAGACATATAATTCGTATCAGGTCTCATCTTTATGTCATACGAGTTTTAGCATTTGAGATGATACTCTGCATGTATTTTTGACTCTTTCTTTGGGCACTATATTTCAATGACTCCACATTAGTAGAACTGGAAAAGTTTGATGTTTCATGAACCATTATTGTCTGTAACAGCATTTTTTCGAAAGGTCCTCTTGGTCTTGGGGGATATATACGCCATTTAGTAATTAGGTTGCAACATTCAGTTCGTCTTAGATTGTTTGCTTGCACACATGACCTTTGCTCTTCAATTATTTGCGCTGTCAAGTACATTACCGCTTGTCAATCTCTGAATTGTACTATAACAATCCAGAGATTTAAATATATAATATGTTGAGCACATAATTCATTTGTTTCCTGCTGCTGTCTGTATTGAGGCTGTTTAGTGTTCACAAGGTCATGCTTGTTAAGCACTAGACGACCATATCTCCAATTGTTGTATCATCATTTTTCACTAGTTTTGCTGATTCCTTTTAACCCGATGACAGCTGAGAAGGCACGTTACGCAGCTAGAGACCCCATAACCGCATTGAAGAAATACTTGATTGAAAGCAAACTGGCGAACGAAGCAGAGTTGTTGGCCATAGAGAAGAAGATCGAGGAGGTGGTTGAGGATGCCGTGGAGTTTGCAGATGAAAGCCCCGCTCCATCTCGAAGCCAGCTGCTGGAGAATGTGTTTGCCGATCCAAGAGGTTTTGGAATAGGACCCGATGGAAGCTACAGGTGTGAGGATCCTAAGTTCACCGAAGGCACAGCTCAAGTCTAAGCTTTTGCATAATGTTTTTCCTGTAATTCTCGTGTTTTGTTATGATTGTAGTCGTCTTTTTAGTATATCGAGTTTTTTACGGTCCCAATTTGCAAAATACGCGTCTAAAAATGTTGCAACTTGGTTTTACAAACAGAACATAACCAGGTTGTTTAATCTATTGTTTTTGTTCTTCGGGATACAAACAGAGTCGAAGCTTCCACGCTTCATTTCGTTCCGTCTTATGTTTTTGTTCATGATTTCATTTATTTACATTTCCGGTTCCTTCGATCCTATGTTTTTGTTATTCAAGATTCAATTTCTTGGTTCAATCTTTTGTTTTTGTTATCTATTCTACCTTATAAACCATATTTATCAAAAGTCTTAAAAACAATTTTTAATGCACAAAATACTATATATTTATGCACAAAGTCTTAAAAACAACTCATATTGCATTAAGTACTATTACTTTATGCATTCAGTGTTAAAATCTTTTAATCTACAATTAAAATAACATATAATACAAGTTATCAATACTATTATTATCTTTTCTTTTCATGTTCTTAAGACACTTTTGATATCTTTCACTCATGTCTTCACCCTCTCAATCCTCTATGTTTTCTTTCCATCCCCCAATGTAAGATTCAAACTGATATTCACCCTGAGTTATTAAAAATTCTTCCATTTAATTGCTCTATAACTCTCGGTATCGCTCTCGATCTCTTGGTTCTCCCAATGCGTCTAAAAATGTTGCAACTTGGTTTTACAAACAGAACATAACCAGTTCCAATAAAAGAATGTGTAGTAAAGAGTCACGATAATGACACGAGGATTTCATGTCAAAGCATTTATGCTGCTGGAGATGTAGGTGAATTTTTTTTGTATCATAGATACATCAATGTGTTTGATGACGATTCCAAATATTACTGTGCAAACATGGAAATTGTTGGTAAACGTAACTTAATATCTTAATGGAAAACAAAAATAATAATTACATTAAACTATTAATAATAAAAATAATTATATATTATTCAACATATAATTACAAATCGGGTTATAATGGTCGTTTATTGTTGGTAAGCACTTACCAAAAACATTTGGTAAACAGTCTTACCCGGGACAACACTTACTGGGATAACACTTACTCGGGTCAGCACTCTTACCCGGACAACACTTACCCGATAAGAGTTAGGGGCCGTATACCTAAATGCTTACCCGAGAAGTGCTTACCGTTAAGAGTAAGGTTGTAGTAAATCAAACCATGTCTTATGCAACAATTTACTTGGTAAGCGCTTACCCGGGTAAGAGTTGTCACCCTCACTTACCGGGTAAGACTCTCCATCCTTATCATCACTCTTACCGGGTAAGATTATTGGCCCTTGCCATGTTCATCCAATGAATGCAATAACTAATATGAAACAACCTATTAACCTGTTATCGGTAACTTACCTGTTCTAGAAACTAAATTTTCCAAGATATCTGGTCATCTCTTCTCAAGTTCTGGTATTGAAGGATGGAAAAACTTTGAGGATATCAAATGCGTGATCAATGATTTCCTATCAGATTTCAGTTTTTCACCGTCCTTATCCTATCTGTGTGTGTATAACTGAATTTGACATTTATTTAAACTCAAACTATGAATCGTTCTCGATGTGTGCTTTTAGATAATCTTTGTGTAGCTTTATCGTAACTAGTATCATGGACTATATTCAGATCAGAGACGTTCCAATTTTTTTTGAAGGCTCTGCTACATCTAAAACTTTTGATTACATTGCATAAATGAGATAACATATATAATATATGTTAAGAACAAAAATGGGTTAAACCTAAAATGATTAACAATCTAAAACTAAACCTAAACCATTAATAATTTTAACATAAAACCAAACAATTAATGGTCGATAAAAAGACCTGAACACATGTAAATTTGGGTCCTAAAATTTCGGAAGCTCTGTTCAAAATCTCACATTTAACATGCTAGGGGACGGCCTTGCACACCAGAAGTTTGTGTATAAAAATCCCCTTGTGGCCACAGAGGTTCAAATGCGGTGACTCCGGTATACCCACAAAGCAGGTGGTTGTCCTGGGATTAAGGCTCGCATACCGAGTTTGGATATCCACGTTAATAAAAAAAAAGGGGCTTTATTGTGTTTAATGACTCTTTGAATTTCAACTTTTTAAGGTACAATCATACAGTAGAAAAGTGAAATCTAGGAATATGTTCTTTTCAGTGTTGTGCCTAGCCAACAGAGGCAGTAACCTTTTGAGTGAGATTTTGAGAGAGTTGCTTTTGGAGAGCACAGTACTATGAAAGTTGTAAGCTGTGTTCGAAGGAGGGTTATTGTCTATCGTTGGCCTATCTAAAACATTACGGTTTCTTTGATTCTATAGCACAACTCTCAGTTGCCATCATCATAAGTTGGTGAATTTGAACATTATTTTAGTTTCAAACCTGGAGGTTCTGACAACTGCTAATAAAAGTGAACGATTACCCAATTGCTTATCCGGAAAGCGTATACCGATAAAAGTCAACACTATAATTTATTTTGATGTGTAAGATTTTAGTATATCAAAAGATATCGAATACAACAATTTAATGGGTAAGTGCTTACGTAGATAAGAGTCGTCATCCTGACTTACCGGGTAAGACTCTCCATCATTCTCATCGCTCTTACCCGGTAAGATTTTTGACTCTTCTCTTGTTCATCCGATGAAAAAAATTATCCGGTAAATACTTATCAAGTAAGTGTTTAGTAAACAGCCCCTTACTCAAATATCTCATACAATATCAAATAAATCCATATTTATCTTAAAAATTATTACTTTCTTAAATATCTTATTCGGTTACCATATGTAACCGACTCCACACATTTTTTCAACCATTTTGTTTCTTATATAAAACAAACAAATAATTGCGTCTCATATGAAAAAAAAATAATAGTTGTTGTCACCGTAGTTTCATACCAGTATTTTTCAATTATGAAACAAAGCATTAACTTTTTAATATGTGACGTTTTTGTTTCTCATGTGAAGCTAAACCAGTTATTGGCTATGATACAAAACAATTACAATTTTTGTTACCTATTTTCGTACAAGGGTTGTTTCATAATAACATTTCATATGTGAATCCAAACAAATTATGTTGGTTTCACATATGAAACAATAATAAATTTTGTTACCGTCGCTTCATACCAGTGTTATTTCACTTACAAAACTATATATTAGATTCTTTAAATAATTCATAATAACATTTCATATGTGAAACCATCATTATATATGCTTCATCATCAACAAAAATGAATACATTCATAGAATTTTTTTCAAAATAATGAATAGAATTTAACCTACAAAACAAGGGTGCGCAATCACATCATTACTCTTTGGAACCACAAATCTTCATATGTACTTTCCAACCATAAGAAGTTAAGGATGTGTGAACACCTTTTTTATATATATCTTACACTATTGGAGTGTATGGAGATGCATCGGATCAATTCCAATGATAAGTACAATTCATGGGGTGGATGTGAAATCCAATATAAACCATAAATAATATTAAATAAAGGGTTAAATTAGGAAATTATCAATTTTGGTAATTTTTAATTAAAATTTTAAATAAATATTATTATAGATGTTTACAAATTTTCTCTCTCATCTCTTCTCTTATTAACGAAATAACTAACACATTGTGAACACCAAGTAACCTAACAAGTATCATCAAGTAACCCATTGTGATCACAAGTGAACACAAAAACACCAAAAACAAAAAACTACAGATCACTAAAAACATTTTGTGAAAATTTGTATACATATCATGAACAAAGTTAATATCGAGTTTTAACATCTGTCGAGCATCTCCAGTGAACCTAAAACCAAAAATCTATAGTATCACAATGTGAATCACTATCAAATATATTGTTTCAATTAAACAACGTGACCACTTATTATTTTTACACAACGTGATCACCTATTGTTTACACGTTATGATCACCTTGTGTAAGGACTTGGATACACATTGTGAACACATTACATATTGTGATCATCTATTTTTCTACATAGTGTATCTATATTTTTTTATAAATTGTAATCACCTTGTGAACATAATGGCACTATGAATAAACAATTAAAGATCCCTAAAAGTATTGTGTAAGAAGTTGGATTCACATTCTGAACAATTAATTAATGTTTTATTTTAAAAGTTATGGATTTTATATTTATAAAAGTTATAGATTCCCTATTTGAGAGAAAAATAAATTAATTAAATTCATTTATGACTTGACTAAATTATATTTTATATTTATTTAATAAATAATCTAATTATTCTAAAT